AGGTGACGTGTTCTCTGGAGTGATGAGTCTGGGTTTTGTTGGGTTTTCAGGAGAACGGTACTTGCCTGCATTGTGCCAAGTGTAAAGTTTGGTGGAGGGGGGGGGGGGGGGGGGGTTATGGTTTGGGCTTGGAACTAAGACATTTTGGACAATAGATAAATACACTCTATTAATCCCACTGTTGTTAGTATTTTACACACAGGTCTGAAATGCACACACAGACAGGACCTATAGGGACAACACATGAAGAGATGTCAGAGTGAGGCGGCTGCCACTTGGTACGGTGCCCCGAACAATTGGTGGTTCAGCGGCTTGCTCAAGGCCACCTTCGGCAGTGCACACTCCGTATCAGTGGTCTGAGCTGGAAAGGGTTAACCTTGTTAAAATTAGTAATCAAGTCAACACTGGTGTGTGAAGGGAACTTTAACTAAACTGCTGTAAACACAGCTTTATATCCAAAACATACACACATACTGCTTCTTTTTAATGCCATTGAAAAATGAACTAACCCTAACCCCATGCCTGTGTCGTCTTTGTACCAATGAGGGGAGAAACTTTTTGTTTTGTAGTACGCAACTTTTTTGTTTTGTCATTACCAAAGATTGTACAAGTTAGATCGAGGTTATCATTTTATAACACAGGGTTGTAGAACGAGATCAAGTTCCCTTCATGCTACTCACAAAACAAACGTTATATACAAATATAGGAGAAGAACAGATGCAGATGATTTAAGACATTAAAGTGATGAAAGATTATTGCGAAAAACGCAAACTTGATTTTAACAGCATCACCTTGGGATCACAAAGTGTCATTATATGTACCTGACTACTGGGTGACATGTTCAACCCACCTGCAACATTTGTGTTTAGTTTGGAGCGGCTGTGGCTCAGGAGGTAGAGCGGTTTGGCTGTTAATCGGAAGGTCGGCGGTTCAATCCCTGGCTCCCCCTGGTTGCGTGTGGAAGTGTCCTTGGGCAAGATACTGAACCCCCGAATTGAATGTGTGTGAATGTTAGTTTCCGTTTGAGCACTTAGGCTCAGTGTATAAATGTGTGTGACTGGTGAATGCAGATGTAGTGTAAAAAAGCGCTTTGAGTGGTCGAAAAGACTAGACTATATAAGTACGGAGCATTTACATTTAGGCTGCACAAACACTGAGACTCAGAGAAATATAAGAAAGTGTCACAGGATCCAAATAAAATTCCCTGCAGGGAATGTTCCACTGGGACAGTTTGGCTCACCAGGTGAAGCACATTTCTGGGTGAAAATCTTGTCAATACCTGAGTGACCAGTTAATTAATTCCATTTTGATGGTAGGTGACACAAGTTGAGGTAGGGGCGTCACATGTGCCTGACATAAAACGCTTATAACAGTCAAAATGCTGGTGAGAAAATTCTGAAAAAAATCACACATCTGCTGGTTTTGGGTGTGTCGTTAATTATTTTGATGGCATTTGATCCAAAACTGAGCAAAAAAGAAAATGTTGTGCATACTATACAATTTATAGCGAGATACTGAATATCACTGCAGACTCACTGTTAGACTCCTTTGCAACACTTGATATCAGCCATATAGAATGCCTGTGTTGATTTTGGTAGCGTTTGAAGACTTGTAGAGATATAGATATTAATTGAATTAGCAAATTCTGTTAATTGAATTAGCATATTAGCAAATTCTGAAAAACAGAGTGACTGATTTCTGAATTGACCATAGGATACAGTGAGGCAAACATTTGTCACAAATCAGTGGATGTGCTGAAAGAATTTCAGCTCTCTAGGACGTACGATAGATTTATTGAAGTTTGGAATGAGAAATGTCTAGAAATGTATGTTTCTTGTAATGAGCCACCCCTACTTTGGGCAATCATTACCAAATTTTATGCATCAGCTGAATCGTGACCCTAGATTGTACAAACCGAATTTTGTACAATCTAGGGTCTACACAAAAGTAAAAATTTATGAAAAAAAAAAGTTTCAGGTCAATTGGCAAAATCGTCTGGGACGAGTTCACAAAAAAGGCTTTATAGAAAAGTCGTAAAAAGTCTTATAATTTGACATTTTTAGAGCAGAAGACCACTGAAGAGATTAAACGCAGCTGTTTGAGACAATTGCAAAAACATAAAGTTGATTTTTATAGCACCACCATGAGGTCTATGAGTGCCATTTTCTGCTGCCCAAACACTTTTAGTGGAGAAAAAGAAGAAAGAAAGAAGGAATAATGAGAACAAAAACAATAGTGCTTCACTGCTGGAGCACTAAAAGTAGATAGAAATAAAATTTTACATGGTTCAGTGCTGAGGATGAATTAGAGTTGAAGAGTCTGATAGCTTGGGGGGAAAAGCTGCTCTGCAGTCTGGTGGTGTGGCAGCAGAAACTTCTATATCTCTTACATTTACATTTACTCATTTGGCAGACACTTTTATCCAAAGCGACTTACATTTGAGGAACAACATACAAGCATCTACAGAGCATCAACTACAGATCTACAACTGACAATACATGCAAGAGCTCACAGTACATATCACATCAATGGGGTAGATACCTAGGGAAGAAAGAAAGAGTTACAAAAAGTGCAATCAAGAAAAAATCATTGTAGGGGATAGAAGAAGAAGAGCACAGGAAGTGCATGTTAGAGGTTAGGAAGGTTCTCGGAAGAGATGAGTTTTCAAGAGCTTCTTGAAGTTAGAGAGGGACGCCCCTGCTCTGATGGCGTGTGGTAGCTCGTTCCACCATCGTGGTGTCACAGATGAGAACAGGGACTGGGATTGCTTTGTGTGAAGGGATGGCAGAGCCAGGCGGCGTTCATTGGAGGAGTGTAGCGGCCGAGAAGGAACGTAAGTTTGTATTATGGAGTTTAGGTAGATGGATGCAGACCCAGTAGTTACTCTGTATGCAAGCATTAGTGACTTGAATTTGATTCTGGAGGCCACGGGGAGCCAGTGGAGGACACTGAGTAATGGAGTGACATGAGTCCTTTTGGGCTGATCAAAAACCAGACGTGCTGCTGCGTTCTGAACCATTTGTAAGGGTTTCACCGCACAAGCTGGAAGACCTGCTAGGAGGGCATTGCAATAGTCGATGCGAGAGATAAGCATGGCCTGTACCAGAAGCTGGGTGGCGTACTGAGTGAGGTAGGGCCTGATTTTCCTTATGTTGTATAGAGCAAAGCGGCATGACCTAGAGACAGCAGCAACATGGTCTGAAAAGGACAGCTGGTCATCAATCATGACACCCATGTTTCTCACCACCCTGTTTGGAGTGATGGTTGCAGAGTCAATTTGTAGTTTGATGTTATGGTGGATAGATTGCTTGGCTGGAATGACCAAGAGTTCAGTCTTAGAGAGGTTTAGTTGAAGGTGGCATCCTTCATCCATGCAGATATGTCCGATAGACAGTCCGTGATCTGCGCCGAGACAGTGTCAAGTGAGGGCTTTTTGAGCAAGGGTCTAACCCGAGCCCTTTTGAAAGTGGTTTCGTAGGAATCTGGTCCAGTCGGCATGTAGTTGGACAGCTACGGGACAAGAGTTCTGATACTTTGCTCTCTGTGAGAGGAGTAAACGAGGAGAGTGAACAACCACTGACCTGGGAGGGCAGAGGAAAAGATGTCGTGGAAAATAATTTCCTTGAGTCAGTGGCACTGCTTATTCTGTCATTATAGAACGCAGTTTTGGCAGCACTGATGCTTGTTGAGAAGGAGAATAGGAGCAATTGGTAGCCCTTAAGGTCGGCGGGGTCTTTGGTTTTTCTCCATTTTCTTTCAGCCGCTCTGAGATCAGTACGGAGCCCACGGATGGTATCAGTTAGCCACAGCTTGGTGGATAGAGGACACAGGCTATCCAGGCACGAGCTTAGTGTAGAGCACAGAGATTTTGTGGCATCATTGACCTCAAGTGAGGAAAATGTGTTGAGGGAGGGTAGAGCGGAAGCTACCACTGAGGCAAAGTGAGTGGCAGACAGGTTGCGGAGGTTGCGGTGGTGTGAAACCAATGGTGTTGGAAGAATGGGTTTTTCCTGTAGGCATACCGTGAACTGAATGAAATAGTGGTCAGACACATGTAGAGGTGTGACTGTTAGGCACTCTGTGGCACAGTTTCGGACAAGAACGAGGTCAAGCACCTTGCCAGCTTTGTGGGTCGGGGGGTTGAGAACCCGTGTTAGATCAAAGGACTGAATCAGAGACAGGAAATCTACTGAGTTTGAATTGTCAAAGTGAATGTTCCTGTCACCGAGGACAAGTAGGGGACAATCATGCTCTGGGATTGAAGACAGCAGTGTGTCTAGCGTGTGTGAACAGGCTGTGACTGGGTGGGTACTGTCCTTTAGGATCCTTTGGTCTCTGCAGGCACCTCACCTCACTGATATCACTGATGCTCAGGAGATGGGTACCAATGATCTTCTGAGCAGTTTTAATCACCCGCTGCAGAGCCCTCTGGTCCTGGGCCGTGCACATCCCATGTTAGTGATGGTTCCAGTCAGGATGCTTTCTGTTGCTCCTTCTCTTAAGCTTCCTCTAGAAATACAGTCGTTTCTGAGGTTTCTTCACCAGCGTGGAGATGTGAGATGTCAGGTTCTCTTTGTTGCTGATTTCGACTGTTCACCTGCTTCACCTCAGCTCCTCTGATGTAGACAAGAATGTGTGTCTTTGTCTCCTTTTTCCTAAAATCAACGATTAACTTCTTGGTGTTGCTGATGTTGAGCAGTGGCAGTAGTAACTCTTTGTTGCGGAGGTCTCCATTCTTTCAGACTCTCTGGTTGGGTAATGATTTTAATTTCTTTGTGATCACCAATGATCGCTAATGATTAAATCTGTTAAATATCAGTGTATCATTGTCAAATTACACCTTTTTGTCCCTACTGATGACATGTCAGAGGTGGGTTTAATTGTCATTGTCTTATTTCACTCCAACAACCTATTGCTTTGCCAGAAGGCTTTAGATTGGTTAGCTTTGGAAGAACAGTTTCCTCTTCATGTTTTTCCACTCTCCTTTTTCTCTTCCTCAGCCATCATTGGTTCACCCACTGTCACTCTCTTCTCCAATGGGGCTACTATTGAAGTCACCATTGTAGATCCAGTGTTCAAGACCTCGTCTCTCAGGGATGTTTACTCCTTACCCACCTACAACATCACCTACTGGAAGTACGACCAGATTAAAAAGGTGGGATGCATTGGTTTAAGTGCTGTTTATGAGTGGATCTTATACTGCTATGGTTCTTGTGTGGCACACTGGAAAGATGCTAACATTATTAACAATTAGGTTCGAGTTTCTGATTCCTTGCTTGGCCATCCATGATAAATATATCTGTCATATGTTTGACAGGTTGAGGTGTATTGAATTGGCATGAAGAATGTTATGTAATGTGAGAACAATAACAAACACTAAGAGGGCAATATATTTTCCACCAAACAATTTGAATAGATGATAATGCTAGAACTTTTTGTACTGACCTGTGTGTTTGAAGCACAGAGTATCAGAAATGGTAGTACCAAATTGTTTTAGTATAAATATATTGTATACTTATTTATAATATATCAACAGGTGTATGTGGTATGAGCGAAGGGACTGCTATCCTTGTAGTGAAGTAACCACTTTGCAATAGGGGTGGTGATGGTGCAACGGATAAGACTATGCCTTTGGTGTGAGAGAGACACTTCACCCCTAATTGCTCCAGAAGTGTGCGACCTCTGACATGTATAACAATTGTAAGTTGCTTTGGGTAAAAGTGTCAGCTAAAATGAATAAATGTAAATGCAAACATGTTTATATTTAAGTGTCAGACAAACAATAGGAATCCGTAGTGAAAGGTCAGACATTAGCGTTGGTAAACAAAATGAAGAGAAGCCGTTTCAAACATCTGTGTAGATGAACTGCATTTTAAGCTGTCTTTGCATAGGGTCCCCCTTTCTCTCTCTAATCATCCTGCAACCTCTGCGGTGGCCTAACTGCTGCAAGCCATCATGGGTAAACCAGGCCACACACATGACCACTTATCTGTTGCTTCCTACAGGCCAGAAGCCTTAGCAACATACATCAAAACCGGATGGTTCTAAATGACCTGGAACACTGGACCAAGTACTGCGTCCAAGTCCAAATCAACACCAAGAGGAACCCCAACCCCAGCAAGCCCAGCAAACGTGTCTGTGCGAGCACCACCAATGGTAAGGATCTTTTGCAAGCAACAAAGGCAGCAATGCTTTTATTTGTAAGGACAAATAAACTTAATGCTGATTAGCCTCCTAATGCTGATTTTCATCACCATCTGAAATGATTTCTACTGCAAGTCATGGTAGCAAGCAGGAGACCGGGGCCTGCAAGTTACTGTTAGTGCAAATTACTACTAAAGACTGATGTAAACAGATTTTTTGCCATGCTGGTGGCAGGGCTGGTGGGATGGCAGTGTTGTTTGGTCGGTTGGTCCATCCTCCCACTTTGGTCCGGAATGAAAATTACTCACATCTACTGGATGTATTGTCAGAAAATGGATGGCATTCTGTTTGTTACAGACATTTCGTGCCCCCCTCACGATACTGTATTCACAGCAAAAGAGTCAGCTAGCTAAGCTAGCCAGTTAGCTTAACACTTAACGAGGCAAGTTAGAACAGGCTAATTTCTGAAACAGATACACAATGGTACAATGAATACACTTCACATTGACCAGACAATGTGATGTCTTGAAATACAAAGAGAAACGAGATCTTCTGCTACATGAACATACATACATTTATTCATTTAGCTGACATTTTTATTTAAAGCGACTTTACAGCATGTAAAATAAGTATTGAACACATCACCATTTTTCTCAGTAAACATTTCTAAAGGTGCTATTGACAGGAGATTTTCACCAGATATTGCTAACAAACCAAGTAATCCATACAAAAAAACAAAACAAATAAGTTCAGAAATTAAGTTATGTGTTATAATGTCAAATGACAGGAAAAGGTAAAACAGTATTGAACAAATGAAGAAAAGAAGGTGCAAAAAGCATGGAAAGCGAAGACACCAGTTGAGATCCATCAGTAATTAGAAAGCAATCCTGCCCCATTAATATCAGCTTGTTTAGTCCCAGCTGATGGCCTATAAAAGGGTTTGTCATTGCCGAGGTGTCACACAAGGAACTTCTCATGATGGGTAAAAGCAAAGAGCTCTCTCAAGACCTTAGCAACCTTATTGTTGCAAAACATACTGATGGCACTGGTTACAGAGGATTCATAAACTTCTGAGTGTTCCAGTGAGCACCATAATCTGGAAGTGGAAAGAACATAATTTCATTTTACATTACATTTACTCATTTAGCTGACGCTTTTAATCCAAAGCGATTTGACAATTGCTATATGTCAAAGGTCGCACACCTTTCAACTGGGGGTTAAGTGTCTTGCTCAGGGACACATTGGTGGATATCTCACAGTGGGAATTAAACCCAGGTCTCCCACACCAGAGGCATGCATCTTATCCACTCCACAGTTTATTTCACCATAGACTGGCCATGACCAGGTGCCCCTTACAAGATTTCTGACAGAGGAGTGAAAAGAATTATCAGAAGAGTTGTCCAAGAGCCAAGGACCACTTGTGGAGAGCTTCAGAAAGACCTGGAATCGGCAGTTCCAATTGTTTCAAAGACAACAATAACACAACAACAGTAATGCACTCAACCGCCATGGCATGTATGCACACTCACCACGCAAGACCCCATTGCTGAAGAAAAAGCATGCTGAAGGTTGATTAAAGCTTGTGAAATACTGGGAGAATACAGTCTGGTCAGATGAGAGCAACATTGAACTCAATACACACCATGTTTGGGGGACAAATGGCACTGTACATCACCTGAAGGAAGGATGAATGGAAAATGAGACATTCTTCATAAAAATCTGCTTCAATCTACCAGGAAGATGAAGGTGAAACGAGGGTGGACATTTCAGCAAGACAATGATTGGAAACACACAGGAAACTTTTAACTGGTTTCAGATAATGCAAATAAAGCTGCTTGAAGAAAATCAATGGAAAAGAACTTAAGATCGGAGTCCATAGAAGAGGCCCACGGAACCGTCAAGATATGAAGACACATTATTACAAATAACTTGTTTTGTTTTTTTTTATGTATGAATTACTTGGGTTGTTACCAACATCTGGTTTCTGAGTATAATAAATGAGAAAAATGGTCACCTATTTAATACTTATTTTACCCGCTGTAAATGTCACATTGCATGCTTTCGGAGTGTCTTGCTTAGGATTTGAACCCAGGTCTGCCAACACCAGGCTTGTATCTTATCCACTGCACCAATGCTACCCTTACTGAACTTATTGCAGTAATATTAAACTTACATCGTCAGTGACTTCTTCAGATGGTAGCGATGGCAGAAACACAAGAGGACAAGCGGAATGAGAAGGAAGCGGAAACAAACCCATGATCTCAAAATCTAATTTCTAAATATAGCCACAAGCGGCAATGATCGGGATCCAAGCAAGTCGTGAAAAACGCAACATTTGACATTTTCAGAGAAGAAAAAACGCAGACAACTTATGAGATTAAAGTGATGAAAGAATTTGGACTTTGAGATAAATGTGGAAACACAAACTTGATTTTTTACAGCATCACCTTGAGATCAGAGAGTGTCATTATATGTACCTGAGCACTGGGTGATGTTCAGCCCACCTGCAACATTTGTTCCAGTTTAGAAGTTTAAGCTGCACAAACTCTTTTAAGCAGAGATTTATAAAAATAAAATGTCACGGGATCCAAATAAAATGGAGACCTTAGACTCACTAGAATCTGAACACTGTTAGCAAGTCTGACTTCAGATCTCCTGATTAGGTGACTTACTGACTGAGCTACTGGTGAGAGGCTCTTAGTTGAGCTCTTAGTGTTATAGTTGAGGTAGTGACGTCACATGTGAAGATTTATGTAAAATTTATGAAAAAACAGATTGATGTATCAAAATTCTTTTGATAACTTTTGATCAGCAACATCCGTGGATGATCCTGGCAAAGTTTGGGACGAGTTGGCAAAAATAGGTTTTTGAGAAAAGTCGTAAAAAGTCTTATATTCTCTAAACAAAGCCGTTTTCGAGATAATTGCAAAAAATGTGAAGATGATTGTTATAGCGCCACCATGAGGTCTATGAGGGCCATGGGTGGAATTTGCAACCTACATGCCAATTTTGGTGAGTTTTTGTGCAGCCGTTTTTGCTGCCCAAACACTTTTAGCGAAGAAGAAGAAGGAGAACAAAAACAATAGGGCTCCAGCAGCTTTGCTGCTTGGATCCTTAATAAGGGTCTCTGAAGTTGAAGAACTCACAACATTAATTATGAAGTGTTGGGGCACGGTACTCTACCAGCTCAGCTAGTAGAGTCCCGTGCCCCATGTACAGGGCTGAGTCCTTACTGTAGCGGCCTGAAATATATATATATATATAAAAGAAATGTTGACACGCTACCTGCCAGCCTACGATGATGACCATGGTAAACATTACACCTGCTGAACATTAGCATTTTAGCATGCTGCCATTAGTCTACGTAAATGGGAAATAGCATTGTGGGACATGTTGTCTGTAACAGAGACCAAACTGCTTACTGTAGTGGAGAAATTGAATAAAGACTTAAAAAATCTTAAAAGAGAAATTCAGTCAGAGAAGTGTTGCTGCTGTTTCTAGCCTGGTATATGACACCCTCAGAATCAAAAGCTGACTCTGATTTGTGATTGCTACAGAGTGAGCCATATCTTACAGCGATGCAATGCTATGTACGGTATGGTGGTAAGCTGCTGGTTAGAATGTAGCAAGAGGATAAAGGTCTCTGCTCAAACAACATGTGTCTGGCAAATCATTTTAAGGTGGCGTTTGCTAGAAAATGTCCTTTTTTTCGTGTAACATCAGAGATATAAACGACACTACACTGCACTAGATGGTTACCAGTTTGTGAGGCATACTTGCACACTCGAATACAAAACCTGTGCAATAAATTTTCTTAATTTTTATTTTGTCATTGATGACTGTTTACTTTTTAAGGCCATGGTTAGTGCTGATGCTGGACTGGAATGCTTAAAATTGAGAGGTGTTTCTAATATTTTGTCCACTGCATATCAATAAGGGCTAATGTGAAATTTCCCTGCAGTGGGTGTTACATTTCATTGTAACATACATTTCAACATCACTAGTTGGGACGTATGTTGAGTTTTGCACTGACCTCCTGTTCTGCTGTGGATAAGGGCAATCAAAATTCTCCAGGGTGTGACAACAAGCAGCAGAAAGTTAAAATGTGCTTCTACTTTTAATTACAGATGGCCGCCTTTTCTGATTTTTTTTGCAGAAAGCGGAGCTCCATGGGTGGCAGCTGTTGTGACGTTTGTCATCATGGCAGTGGCAGTGGCTCTGGTGGTGACTGCAGTGGTGTATCGGAAAAGTATATCCCACTTTCTCTGCCCAAAAGATTCACTGCCTCAGCACTTTAAAGAGGTTTGTATGTTGATATGTATCTGCATGGATTTGTGTGTGTGAAAGGTAGTTTGTAGCGTAATGTAATGATGCAAGTCACAAGTCTGGGTGAATCTGTCTGCAAAATTGATTTCAACTATATGCATATGTGTATTCATGCAGTAAAAAAAAAGTGTTGCACCTTACTTTGCCCCCCAGTACCTGCTGGCGCCCCCCATATCACCTGTGTACCTAGCCATGCAGAACTCCCACCCACCTGAAGAAATCTACCATCCAGTCAGCATCATCTCAGACAACGGGACTGTGGAGGAAGGGAGCCCTCTGGAGGCAACAGGGACTAGCTGCAGCAAACAGCCTGACAGCACAATAGGGAAAAGATAGTGGGAAGAGGGTGAGGCTGAAAAACACAGGAGCAATAGAGAAGAGCCAATCTGCAGGCTGCAGGCAGTTGGGACATTAAAGACACTGAGAAACAATGATGACTTGACTCAGTTTTATTGCAACAAATTCTTCAGCAGTCCAATATTATTCCTTGGAGCAGGTGCTACTGTGAAGTGATTGTATGGCAGAGCCACAGAGACGTGAAGGTACAGGATTGATCACACAGTCCTGCTGTAGCCCCCAGTTATTACCACCTACTGTACTGAAGGAGCATGCCACAGCCCATTGGAGCTGACCACACTAAAGGATTTATGCTGCCATGGTGCTCTTAGATGCCCATCCATAATTTACCGTCTATGATTCTGGGTTAAAGTATGAATGCGGACTTCAAAAAACTGCATAATCTGCCATTCAATGGGAACATTTGTGAAGCATAAATAGTTTTAATTTGCAATATAAAGATTTTCTTAGAAGAGAAGCTGCAACAGAAAGTGTGTTTGTCGTGGTATCTCACAGGGCTGAGTTAGTCGTTCGGTCCAAGCTAACACAATGTCCAGCTCAAAGGTTTACACATTAATGTTGTCCTCAGTTGAACTAAATGAATAAAGGAATGATTTGAAAATGTGCTATGAGTTGGTGTGTCTCTGGTGGTTTGGTTTTATTCTGACATCAAACAATATCTAGGTAGGTAGGTTGATTTGTTTTGTTACAATAAAACCAGTTCGAGTGAGTGAAGCTGAGGTTTTAATTCCCTTCTGCTACGTAGCAGACAATACACATTAATAAAGAAGCAATTATAAAAATAAACAGAAATAAACTGTATTCAGTGGAGCAGTGCTGAGGATGAATTTGAATGGATGAAAATCCTTTGGGCTCTGTAGGCACCTCACCTCACTGATATCAATTGATATATCAACTGATATTCAAATTGATTAAATAAAAGATTTGTAAAATAGAGTCATCAAAGTTTTGTCCACATTAAAAGTATTCAGTCTGTGCAGAAAACTAAGCCTCTGAAGACCCTTCTTGTAGACAGCAGAAGTGTTAAGGTCAAAGTTCAAGATTTGTCAATAGCTGTTCCTAGGTACTTGTAACAATCCACTGTCTTATTGGGTGAGCCCTTGATTATTGTTGGAGAGTTTGAGTGGTTTTCCTGAAGTCTATGACAACGTTTTTAGTTTTAAGGACATTTAACTTCAAGAAGTGGTGGTCACACCAATCAACAAAGTCATTCAAAACAGGCCCATGGTCGACCTCTCCGTCCTGGAGCAGACCGACTAGAACTGTGTTGTCCGCAAACTTCAGAAGAAACCTGTTATTGTGGTGACTCCTACAATCATTTGTATATAGGAGATACAAAAGTGGGGACAGGACACACCCCTGGGGTGAGCCTGTGGATGACAATTGCTTCTCAGATAGAACGCCATTAACGCTGACTGACTGGGGCCTAAATGTTAAATGCGTTATGAGTCTTTCAGTGCGGGCTTAGCACAACTGTCAGATGCAGTATATCAGATGAAGAACATTATAAAAAAATACATCAACATTTACATCTATACAATTTTATCTGCAATAATCATAACATGAGAATTAAAGACAAACAATATTGTATTCATTATGCTATTACAAGCCATAAAGTCATTAACCTTAACTCTGACCTGTAAGATCCCAGTTTGGGTTCAGGAGGCAGACACCGCCTCCATTAAGAGTAGGCTTAAGACTTTCCTCTTTGATAAAGCTTATAGTTAGGGCTGGCTCAGGTGAGTCCTGAACTATCCTCTCAATACAGTACAATTGTAATGCAATTTTAAGACAGAATCAATGCAGGTGTTTATTGATAAAATAATTAAATAAATACATTATTAAAATAACAAGTTATTACAAGTAAATTTAAGTCATTATCTACCTATATCTTTATTTATTTAGATAGATATTCTGTCTCTACAGCTCCCTCATCACAGTGTCAGCTCAGGCTGTCCTCTGGTCAACAGAGACATGGTCACTCAGTCTCTACATGGCCAGTGTCCTTTCAAGTTATTAGGTAGTCTGCCACATACTGTGTGTGTAGGGCCAAATATGTTTGTAGGTTATGGGCGCGTGTGATATTATTTCACTCTTTTTCTATAGTGTAATGTCAGTATTCAGTTTCAGGTGCTTTATTTTTGTTTCGACGTGGCTATTATTTTGAAAGAGCAACCGGAACTAATTCGACTTCGTTTTCTTCACATGACACATAACGCAATCTCATAGAGCCAGTCAGACCGGAGAACCGAGTTCGTCCGAACCGAGCCTGGACAGAGACAACGAGCACGTGAAAACCAGTCAGTGCCTCGAAAATGTCCACCATGTATGCTGCTCTGTATGCCTGCTTGCTGTTCTGGTGCCTCCACGCTGGTGAGTTTTCATGGTGGCTAGTTATCTAACGTTCGTCTGTTTGTATTTCAGATGTGTGTTAACGTTAGCAGTGTTGTCTGTTGGTCGGTGTAGCTAACTTGAATTAGATGTGAGTTTTTCTGAAAAATGTATTACACACTGTAACTACTCCTAGCTAAGCTACAGGCCTGGCGTTAACTATTAGCTTCCCTACCAGTTGTTAACTTACTGTATAACAATTCCTCTAGGAAAGCCCCTGTTTTAGGCAAGCTGATGGCGTAACGTTATTACGTTAGCCATTTAGCTTTGTCGAATTTGAGCATCGGGCGCATGTGTTAACCTTGTATTAACTGTTGGCTAGCCACACAGTAATACCTTAGATATGTGAGTAACATGTTAACGTTAATACAACTACATTCGTCTCGTAGCTGTTGTGACAATTTGATATTTTGACTGCAAAATCCCGCTTGTGTGTGAACAGAAAACGCTCACTGTTGTGGTTTTATCAAACGCACACTTACAAAGTCATAATAAGTGGTTAGGTTTGCTAGCAAATAGACCCAAATACAGCCACTGAGCTGCTAACAACATGCTTGACATGCAGAAAACATTTAAGGTTGAAGATTTTTTGGTGTGATAACTTGTGCTCAGAGAAACAGAAAGTAAGGTAATGGCTCTTCCTTCAAAAGAAATGGAGACAAAATGGAAGAGTTGGGGCAGTATGAGGGCTAAAAGCAGATTCACTCACTGTCCAGTTTTTGTTTTATTCAAATGTGTGTTGGGGAGGTTTAAGGTGTAGTTGAAATGCAAAGGACGTGGATGAAAGTAATAAGTGGTTGTAAAGGTGCTCCCTAAAAGTGTTGTTAGCATGAACTGAATGTAAAACGCTGCATTCTGATTTGACTTTGTGAGCAGTGTAGTAACGTTAACCTCATCCGTTCTGTCAGGTTTCTCTCCATCCAGTTTGTGCGCTCATTTTCTGAAAATTTTTACAACCTAACATCAGTTGTGAAGTGCACCCAGATTAGCTCTGGAAATACCTAGAATGCAACATGAGAGAACCTTGATTCCTAACCTGCAAAGGAATATTGTGGAGGTAATAGACATGTTAGTTTGCATATTGAGTGTGAAAACAGTTTGACACCAATTATTTGTTTGTTTTGGGTGTTAGTCCACCCGCCTGGATACAGGCTGACATGTGAAAATATAATGACAGCAAGGGGTAATGGGCTCAAAATGGACCAGCATGTAATCTGGTGCAGTAGAACACAGTTCCTGTCAGTCCTTGGTGAATTTAGTTGAAAACACCCAGCTGTTCTAGCAGCTACCCAACAACAGTCTGACAGTCCTGCACTTCCAAGAAACCCAGTGCTGGTGAATGTTTGCCTCGTCCAGCCACTCATAGTTTCTGCTTAGCCTGAGGTTTTTCCTCATTTCTACCAGTGAATACATCACAACCCACATTTCCCATCTGATGTGCTGCAGAGCTGTGGTAGAAATGATGTTTAATCAAGGCTGTTTTCAATAAATGCAAATACACAAGTCTGTTGAGTGCACTTTTAGGTAAAAGTCAGCAACCTAAAAAGTGGGTTTGATTTGGTAAGAGTGACCCCGGTGTTTCTTTTACTGCAAAAGGAAATGTGAATTCAAAAATAAAAGGCATGTTTTGGACCTTGTTCCATTTCCTGTATTCAGTATACCGTGGTACACTTGTGACTCAATAAGACTTACTTCTCCTTTCTTTTTTAAAACATGGAGTTGCATGGAACTAGGGCTGAACGATTGTGGAAAATAATCTAATTGCGTTTTTATAATTTTTTTTACCAATGTTGTGATTTAATATGGGATAAGCTCTTTACCTTCTGTATTATTCAAAACAGACAGGCAGTAAATCAGTGTACAGACCAACGCGATGTTAGATTTAAACATACACTGTTCTTTCTTTTGGATCAGGCCTGTGTTATGATGAAATCAGGTCATGCATGAATTATTATGAGCAATGGTGGAGAAAATGTATCAGATTTTAATAGTATGAGAAATAATTTGAGTAAAGTTAAACAATTAAATATCATTAAATAATATGATATCATCAGGTCGGCCTACCTATACAGAGCACAAGAAAAACAGTTCACCACAGTGTGTTAGACAGTAAGCGCTCAATACAAAATCCACGGTTCAACCACCAATTAATGCGTCCTTATCTCAGTTCAAATAATGTAACAAATTGTCAATATATCAGTAAATGTTTGATTGAATTCATTTGAATCACGAGCAAATTCTTAATTTTTCTATTAAGATATTTATTTTGTTGAGGAAAAGGAACTGAAATCATGTTATTTTAAAAAAAGATTTTTATCATAATAGATTTGAATGTTCTACCTCAGACTTGTGAAGTGATCCACTGTTTGACATTAAGGTTTTGTCACGTTCTGACCATAAAGAAAAGTTTAACCACACAATTAACCATCTGGGTTTTTTTTTGTCAGGAGCAAAAATCAGCCTTTAAACTTATCGATAGGTATGAAATTGTTTTATTGTGTTAACATTTTTGGCCATATTGCCCAGCCCTACGTGCTGGTGTTACATTAAATATTATCGACTGAATGGATGAGTGTAGGGTGTGACGCTCAAATATATTGATCCACCGTGTTACAACTGCTGGTTTGGCAACTAGTAAAATTTACCTCAAAGCAAGAGGCACTTCTTTGATAATCTGACTAAGTTCTGCTAAGCCTGCACTGGAAGAACGCATCACACATACCATTTTTCAAACCAGATTGTGTTTATATAACCTTGTACTTCTAAAGTAACACATTTTTTCCATAATGTTTATACAGTAGGTCTATAGGAAATGTATTTACATTCCATATTAGTTACAACTTTACTAAGTTATGTATAATTGTTGGTCAAGCCAACAATTAAAACAGTCAAAGTGTGGACAGGTCAGGCTACAGCAGCTCTGCAGGACTGTTTTGGGAACACAGATTGGAGAGTGGTCAGAGAGGCCTCCACCCAGGAGAGGCACATCAACTTTTATTCTTGAATATAAATATAATAATTTAACAGAAGTCTGTATATCTCATTCTCTTTTTTTTTTTTTTTTGTGTAAGCAAATTTTTTTGTGTCTAGCCTTGTACATTAGTATGTGCTATGATTACCCGCGTTTCGACCAAAATTACTCAGCTCTCTTTTCAAGGAACTAAGATTCCTTCAGCCCACTGTTGTGTGCGTTTCCACTGTGGTCTAAAGACTTGAGAAGAAATTAACTAGCTGATGTAGGCTGTAGGCCTTCAGGCATCATTATTTGTAACCACTATCCATGAGAAAAATCTATAAAAGAACATCAGATTTGATTGGAATATAATGAAAAACTACAGGCTTGACCATTAAAGCAGCTTTTTGTGTAGGAGTATAATGAAGAGACACAGGATAAAGTTTGTTACAAATTTAATAACAAACTGGATAAAACCATAAAGTTCTTTAAATAACTTCAGCACATAGAAAGAAACAAAAATAAAATCGCGACAGTTTGGAAGGTTATTAAAACATTTCCAGCCGACAAGCTTGTTTTGGGGAGGAGGAGACAGACTTCAGCTCTGTGTAAAAACTTTCTGACTGATGAAAACTTAAAACAACAACTCTGGACCCAGTATTTAGCATAGCTCCATCAGCTGTTGGCTGTAAACACACCGCTGCACACTGGCTGCTAATTCCAAGCAACACATTTAATGCCAATCTCAGGTGACAGCGGCGAGACATGTGTGCTACATATGTGACTGCTGATTGTGATTTATTGGTTTGCAAACAAGGTGGAAAAGAGAGGAGCAGCTGTAGAAAAACACAAACATTCTCCAGTTAAAGCCAGTAGCCTCTACTCGCCCATTCAGAAACTCACTGCAAGGGACTTTTTGGGGGGTAAAATAAAGACCCTAGAACTAGATTTAGACCCTGGTCCCTCCGGTGGAAACACACTGAGTTTTTCCAAAGGTTCCTAGTTCCGGGGTATAGTCCTTTTGGTAGAAATGCAGCTATTGGTGTAGGCTATTTCTTAGTTTCTAAGGGTGCATCCATAGCCGCCAGAAAACTATGTTCAGATTAGGGGTGGGAATCTCTGGGCACCTTACGATTCTGATGGCTGCGATTGGATTATAAAATGATTATCGATGCATCTTGATGCATCATTTTCTTTCTAAACAGGATCCCTGGATAATTACTAAGCATTTAATTTGCGCATTAAAGTCCAAAAAAAATGGTCCCTCATTTCTTTAACAGCCAGTTGTCAGACTCCTCTAAAAACTGAAAAATAATTATCAGGATGTGCAGTCTGTCTAAGTGTAAATGTAAATGCTCTGTATTTGTATAGCGCCTTTCTAGTCTTTCTGACCACTCAAAGCGCTTTTACACTACATCTGCATTCACCAGTCATACACATTCATTCATACACTGAGCCTGCTCAAACAGAAACTAACAGACACACACATTAATACACTGGTGGAACAGCCACCAGGGGCAATTCAGGGTTCAGTATCTTGCCCAAGGACACTTCGACATGCAGCTGGGGGAGCCGGGATTGAACCGCTGATTGATTAACGGCCAAACCGCTCTACGGTGGCATTGCAGCAGCTTAAAACATAACATATGAAGAGACAGATGCATAATGCATGGTCACTAAGCATTTATCAGTAATACAGTTAAAATTGGGAACGTGAAAAATTGCGTTGCATGGCGATTTAAGGTATGCACCCCTAAATGTTCTGTCTGTGCCCCTAAAATTTTCAGTTAGGGGCTACAGTGCTGATACAGTGCAGTGTGATTAAACTATGTTTGTGCTTCTGTTCTCAGTGAGACGACTGGATGAAATACATAAGCGTCATGAGATAGAGTTTCAGTCATGTGCTTTCCCCTCGTCACCTGATTTGTTTCATGCTGAGTCATTGTTTCATTTCAGTTGATCTGGGTGTATGTTTCACTATGAGAGTCAGTAATGCCGTTTCACTCATATGTTGTGCCACACCTTGAATACCTTATACAATAGGTCCAATGACAGTGCTGTGGAATCTGTATCTGCAAGAGCAAGGGAGACTTTTGTAATGCTGTTGCCCACTGGCTAGGGCAGATCAGTGAAGGAACAGTCAGGTCCTTTGCAATTCATACATGCTGGCTTGGCTTGATTCAGCCCAGCACAACAGGGATTTGCATCTCCATTGCAACAAAGTTGGACTACCAGTTAGGTGTGTTTGGTGCCATTTATCAGTTGCTGTTTGTAAAAGTTGACCCCTCCTCCTAGAGAGAGAGAGCAGAGGTGGTCGAGAGAGCTAAATGTCTCTGAAGAGAGAGAGAGAGCGGTATTAGTGGGTTCAAATTGTTAATGTCTGTACTTGTACTGACCTTCTGATAAGTGGACAACAATCTCTACCTTCTGAGCCACAGCCACTACAAAGCAGTGAATCGGAGAAATAAAACAGATTTTTTAAATAATTTTTTATTTTATTTAACATGCTTATAGATATGATTTTAACCTGATTACATTTCTACCCGGTAGTAAAATGCGTCTCCAATGTCCACATAAAGATCCAATCGAGATCCAATCACTCCAGCTCAAACAACCGAACACCACATCCTCCTCTTGTTTGTGCTGGCCCAAAGAAATAAGAGTATAATAACTTTCTGAGCCGGCTATCCAGCGTGATTTGTTAATGGTTACATTACCTTTAAAGGTAACGGGAGTCTACTCTTACATTTAATTTTATTTTTTTCCTTTTCATCTCTTGTACCATGCACCTTACATCGGTAAATCTATAAGAATCAGACTTTGGCTCTTGTTGTTTCCGTTAAATGAACTGAATTGTGGAGAATCTAACCAATCTAAGGATGTGTAGCACATCCATATTGATCATACGTTTTACCATTATATTGTATTAACGATCTAAGCAGCTTAGAAGCAGCTTAAGCGGGCGACCCCGCAGAGTTTAAGAGGTTTTATACATCCAAAAAACTTCTATAAAAACCAGACGAGGCGTTTAATCGAGACCTGCGTTTATTTGTTAAAATGTGTTCCTGCACCAGCCCAGTAGACAGGGTAAGCGGCTATTTAGGACTAGGCTATTAATTGAAGTTTTACAGTAGTATACTGTTTTATGAAATGATACTGACAGTATGCTATTAAGTTAATATTAAATGTTTTATTTATTGTTACAATGTTATACTACTAGACTCATATACCAGTTCCTCCATGTTGTGGAAAGAGCTGCAGTGGACAGATGATGGTTCACTGTAGTGATAATAGTCTAAAACTAGGCTATGTCAGTTAGGTGTGTTGGGGGGGGGGGGGGTCGATACAGCATAGTATTGCAATATTTTGCAAGGCAACACTGTAACACGAACATCAAGTATCGATCTTTTATTAAATTGTACATGAGAAGTTCCTTCCTCCATTTTTGGCACTAATAAAATGGCCTTTTCAGTCCACTAGAAAAAGAGTTTTGCTTTGGTGACACAATTTGGCTGCATCCCACTACAGTTTCTGTAATCAGTTTTATAATGAATACGATCTCTGGCCACAGCAGTTTTAGCTGCGTATCAGAGTTGATCTCCGCCCATATTAAAATGACTGAAAACACACACATAGTGGCCGTTCATGTACACTGGGTATGCACATGCCGGTGTAAACATGAAGCGGATGGTCCTACTCCGCAGTAGCAGAAGATTTGGCGAAAGAAGAAAGTAATACAGATGAATAACCACACCAGTTTTTGCATGGACCGACTAGGTGGAACTGAAAGTAACAAGAGAGTATAAAGCCACTGTGGCAACGGAAAGCAGACTGGGAGCTGCCGCAAATTAAATACAGCGACATGCACAGTACAGGTGTTATTTACACATTACAAAATCTTTTAATAAAAATACAAAAAGTAAAACGGTCATAAGCATCATATTTTTGCTTTGCATGACTGATAAGACTGAATCAGAAAGCCAAATGTGAGTGTCGGTGTCGTTGTTGCCCACGGGGTCAGCAGCATTTTCAGACAAACAAATTTGGATTCGCTGTTTTAATCTGGAAGGGAGTCGGAAACATAGCAAAAGCTTTTAAAACGAGATCGGGGAGAGAGAGCGAGAGAGAGAGAGAGTCAGTCAGCTGATTGAGAGGCGCCTCTCTTTGCATCAGAAACTCACTGAAGGATCAGTGTCTCTCTGCCTGATGCGCTGTGGGTCAAGACAATTAAACTGTGGTAGCGGGCGGCGTGTCTGTGAGATGAGCATGACCGCTGACATTTTCACTTATCGCTCCTGCTTGTTGCTCCTCTTGTCTGATTGCTGCTCAACTCTCATTGTAACTGATTCATTGGGCGCATCAGTCGCTTCCTGTCTGAAACTGTTCATGCAATACGCGGTATATACACGGAAACCATTTTATCTACTATTGAAAATTTGTATATTGCATCATCTGATCTGCTTTTCTGATCGGCCTTTTTAGAGACCACTGATCAAACTAGTTAAAGCCATTATCAGCCCATTACGATCGGACCGATCGATCGGAGCACCCTTCGTTCTTGTGAGCCAGTTTGAGTCAAGGTTGAGGATGAACCATTAGGATTTCATTTAGCGTGTGTGACTGATGTCAGTTGCTGAGAAATTGGTCTGTGATGGACAGAAAAATGAATTGTACAAGAAAAAGAATAAAGGAACTGAGTCAGTGGGGAAATGTGTAACGTCTTCAGCCAAAATTGAGTCCACAGCAGACATAACAGGCTGAGACTGACACGGCCTAGACAGGATGCACTGAGCGGAGCCACCCTCCTCCCCCAAACTCCCTTCTTTCCTCCCTCAAATATTTCCTGTTTTTGTCATGCAGTAAGTATTTCTTCTGTTTTTTACTCAGCTTCCCCCTTTTTTTGAATCCACAGGTGGTTTAAGTTGCTTGAGTTTACGACGGTCTTTCAGTTGGTATTCTGAACCATCTCACTCTGCTCACAGGTGTCTTGGTCTCTGAAGAGCCACAATGATTCATAGTGATTTGTTTTCTTTGATTTGTTCGTCTTTCTTGAGGTCATGGTGATGTGCCAGAGATGAAGTGCTTTCCAGCATGGTTCTTCTTTGCTCAAGTCTCACCAGAGTACACTATCCTGACTACCTGTACCTTTCTGTTGTTCTGCTGTTTGCCAAAGCGGCAGATGGCCCAACCATTTCCACCGTCACTGTTAACAGTTCCCCCACATTCTGCGCATGCTAGCTTCAGACCCTGAGAACAGCCTTTTCACAATGTTATATAAATATAGAGCTGAAACAATAACTGATCAAGCAATTAACCGTTCCATTCGAAAATGAAGAAAAAGCGAGATTGCCCGACATTTGCTTGTTCCAGCTTCACAAATTTGACAATAGCTTTTCTTCATCACATATGATAACAAATGGCAATAAAAGTACATTTGGATTTGATAATAATCATCAGTCTAATTGAAAAGGAAACTAATTGTTAATTTCAGCCCAGTATTACAGTTTTTTTCAATTGCTAACCTGCACTGTTAAAACTGAAGTCACATTGTCAAAACTCTTCACACAGTTGGCGAAACAGAAGTGTATGTGGCCCAAACTGAATCATTTTTCATTACGTTCACACAAAATGATCAATGATCACTTTCTCTAAAATCCATGAACTCTTCTCTCATGACTACTTCACCACCTGCAAAACACTGAGCACATTTTTCAGATGCTAACACACTGAGTCCAAAATTGTTTAAATCACATTCAAAACAAAATGATTGCAAAAATTCTGCATTTGTGTAGTAATCAGACTGAAAAATATAGAAAATCTTAGCAGAATGTTTACAAACATCTTATGTTTACATCTATGTGCGCAGAGAAATGTATGTAGTGTTTTTAATGTGGTTTCACTGTAAAACTGCCAGCTGAGTGTGAAGCAGGAAACGTGCTTGTATTTTAGCAGAACTGGTTCAAGGGGTTGGTACATCAATTACAGGTTGTGGTCAGTATGTCTCAGATACCAGTTTTACTGTGTAAACAACTGAGAAGCTATTGCAGCACTGAACTTTCAGGAACTTTTTTTCACAAGCAATTACTGAATGCAATGCAAGTAAATTTCTGATTCATCCTTCTTACATATACTTAGTACAGTTAATAAAGTGAAAATATGTTACTGTTACAGTTTTTCTCAGTCGGTACATTTCTAGAATCATCCTGAACATTTGCAAAACTATTTGTATTGCTAAACTATGGCTCAGGTTTGGATGACAATGATTGAAAATGCACAAGGCTGCACTTTACTGTATGGCATAGATCCATTTCAACAGTGCAGAGTTATACATTGCAAGGGATTGGACAAGATTCACAGTCAAGTCTTTACTGTGCTTTCTGTAATTTGTTGAAGGAGCATGTTATTGTGATGCAGGAAAAAAAGCTAGACTGTTTTTATATACCAGTTTAATACATTGTAATGAACATGACATAAGCAGATGATAATGTAGGATACTGCAAATTTTTTTTTTTAATAAATGTGTGAAAGCATTTACAATTTCCAATTTTGAGAAATTGCTTGTACATATGATCTGCACAAGTGACTAGATGATGTGAAGGTTGAACAAGTAGAATTTCAATTCTGATCTGAGAAATGCACCAAAGTGACTGAGAAACAAGTGTGTTCTAGGGCGGGGGCGGGTGGTGGTGCATAGATAAGATGCTTACCTTTGGTGTGGGAGACCCGGGTTCGATGTTGGTGGTTTGAGTGACTTTTGGAGGTGAGATTAACAGTCTGGCCAAGATGCATGTTGGTAATGCAGACTGTGAAGAGTTTTAAAAAAGTGGCTTCAGTTTTGACCTTTGCAATTAAAAAACTTTAAATTATTAAAATAATCTTGTTGTATTGAATTGTTAAATATTGTAACATCAGAAATTAGCAGAAATTTGTACAGACTTTATGTGGGTTTTCCCCGTTTGTTTCAGTTGGAGCAGAGCTGGCTCCACCACAGCAAGTGACCATGATGGCCTTGAACACCAATTACACACTGTGTTGGGACTGGGACCAGAGTGCTGCAGAGAGTGATGCTGTCACCTTCACCACACAATATGTCGCGTAAGTCTTACTCACACACACAACATCATAAACGAGGCAAAGAAACCAGCCATACTGAGGCTGTTCAGTTCTTAGCGCTGCAAGCTGCATTGTCATCTTTGGTGATTTTTAGGTGATCAAAACTGTGAAACGTCTGCCTAAATTAGGCTTTGACAAAGACCTATTGAAGGTAACATCGAGGAAATTAACTTTACGCCAGTTTCCATACTCTTTTAATGACGAGCTGTCTCTGCACCTGCACTTGTCACTATCTTCCATGTACTTGATCTCTGGTACCTTCTGTACCTCCTTCCAAGATGGTTGGTATTTTCAGTTTCCATTATTAATGCTTTACATTGTCTTTTTTTCTCGTTCCCTCAGGAAGTTCAAGCTGAAGTCCAAGAAAAAGAGTCCGAACTGGAGCATGGCGTGTGACAACACACCACACAGGTCATGTGACCTTTCAGCGTTCAACTTGCACTATTTGGGCATCTACGTACTTCGTGTACGAGCCAGTGCGAATGGACGTCACTCTGACTGGGTGCTAAAGGAATTCTGCCCTGATAAAGATGGTGAGAGAGAGGGATGATGAAGACAGTCCCTCTAAATAATCCGGCAGATACTTAAAGGTTACAGGAAGACATTTTATACACGGGTCTATGGCAGCACATGATCTCAGGTGGTAAACCACAATCCTTCCAAAATATCACAAACACAAAGTGGGTAGAAGAGAAACTGAACCAAAGAGTATGTGTTGCTGATACAGCCCTGAGCAACATTGCAAGGAAGGTTGTGTGTTTGGAGTAGTGGGGCTCTGAACTATAAAAACCACAGTGTAAAGTTCAGTAAAGATCATGCAAGTAGCTTAAGTAAACATCCTCAACATGACTGAACACAGTTTCACCAAGCTTAGAAAATCACACACGCAGATGTAGCTGGAAGAGCAGCTGGACCTCACACAGCTTACAGCTCTCCATGTGACCACAGACGTCCAAAGAAGTGGACGTAGTCATCGTAACATCACCCGTTTGTGAACTGCCCTTTTGAAGCCTCGAGTTTGGCCGATAGGGCGCCGCCATGTTGATTTTTTGCGAACAGGATGTGACCATATTTGGACGAGACAGTGGAGCTAAGCCGTGTGTGGCGCTAGCTAGCTTGCTTAGCTAGGTACATCTGTAATTCACTGTCATTTTAACAGGAGCAATGTTGTCTAGCGAACAGTCTGAAAACTAAATGTACTCACCAGAGAAAGTGAACAGCCAACTACTAATAAGCTTTTTCAACGGCGCTGGTTAAATTTATACAGTGCAGTAGGTACGAGTCACTATAGCCTTATTGACAGGTTGCCATGGTAATGACTTGTCAATCACAGATAATCCCGCCCTAAAGCATACTCTGCTCTCTGGTCTATTTTCCTCTAGATGGGACCATAATTTACTAAATGAACATAATGCTGTTGAAGAAGACTTGAAACTAACAATTGAGACCATAAACTCATTGGGAAAAGTGTTTACTGAGGTGATAAATCAGGTGAGAGTCAGGGTCATTTTACCATTATTTCTAATAGAACCGGACTTCTTTTTGCAACCACAAGAGTCTGCCCCTGCTGGTCGTTCAATAGAATGCAGGTTTCAGGGACTTACGCATTCACCTCAGTTCTCTGACTGGAAGCTTCCTGTTTGGATGTGACACCTCACATTATGGGGTGGCGATGGAGCAGTCAATAAGACAAATGCCTTTGGTGTGGGAGACCTGGGTTCAATTCCCATTGTGTCCCTGAGCAAGACACCCCTAGTTGCTTCAGAAGCGTGCAACCTCTGACATACTTTTTTGCAATAATAAGTCGCTTTGGATAAAAGTGTCAACTAAATGAAGAAATGTACATACATACATAAATAAATGAATACTATGATGATATGATGAATGATATACTGTAGAGCTCAGTCATAAAAGTAGCAGTTACTCACATAATCACTTCTTCTTAAGTGTGCCTACAAAATAAATAATGGAGAAAGTTTGTTGCAGCAATGCTTTATTTCGAGTTGAATTAAGAGCTTTTACTTTGAATAATTCTGAAAGACATCTAATAGAGTCTGTGGCATGCTTGACAGCCTCCTGAAAAAAAGCCTCAGGAAAAAGATTCCCCTGAATGAGAAGCGCAGGAATTTCCTCTGCTAGGAGATGCTGGGGAAACGAAAATAAGCGTCCATAGGTTGACCGTACCCAGCTGTCGCTGTTGCAGAGTTGAGCAGCATAAGCCCCGCCCGCTTGAGGAGCTCCACTGCGCCCCAGCGAGCCTTTCCTGCCGTAGCTACTGCAGAACTCAGCTCAGTGCTGTTCTGTTGTGTAGGCTATTTATTAATTCTGAACATCTTGCGTGTTCAAATTGCACCAAGTGCAACACTGCATTCCCTTGGGTCCACAGCAACACACCCGCCACGTTTGAAGTAGATTGGATGAACGGTTACTAAAATAATCGAAATACAAACACACAGATTCCCCTTGAAAGGTTAATTTCCTATGCACTTTGCAGGGTTTCCATCCACCTATTTTAAATTTGGCCATAAAAAAACCTGAGTCAAAATACCACAAATCAAATAAATGTCTTTATCTTTGGTTGAGGTAGAAAATTTGGTTTATAGATAAAAGCAAAATGCAACAAAGCAGAACTGGAAGCAGGCTTGGCGAATAAATCATGACGTGTATGAAACGGGTGACTTGAACATCCACTGAAGCTTCCACTCCACTGAGAGACAAAAAATTAGGGGTCAACCAATAATCGGCCTGGCAGATTATGGCCAATATTCAGTCTGTCATTTTAAAAACAGATAGCTGATGATGATAAAAAAAAAAAATGTGCTCCTTGCAGCCGCCTCTCTGTCTGTACGGTCTGTACTTGCCACTCTGTGGGCTCAAGCAATGTCCCGCCCACAGTACTATGGCTGGGCCCAAAAATTCGATCGTTGGGTACATATTCAATTATTAATTTTGAGATTCAAATGTTGAGGGTTTTATTCAAAATGAAGCCCTCAGCTGTGTGAGAGCACTTTAAACTGAATGATGACAACAGCAGTGTGTTCCGATTGGCGATTGGATCACTTATTGGTGATTGAAGGGATGATCAGCGATTGGTTTTCTTTCACCGATTATAAAGGCGATTTTAACTATCTCACTATCTAACTAAGATGACATAAAAAAAACAGTCTCTAGAATCTGCACCCGCTGCAGTGTTTCCCATTAACTGATTTATTTGTGGCAGCAAGCCACAATATCAACTCTGAGTGCCACATACTATAATTTAATGAGTAAAATCATAATTCATTGTGAGCGTTTACAGATGTGTGGTGGTTTCTCTTAAAGCTAATAAGCCTATTTCTTCCTTGCTGACTGTTTCACTGGCTTGCTGCAACATAACGCCGCCCCCTGTAAATATTCCTCTGTTATCTAACTCCTCATTCTCTTAGTCCTGCACCAAAGGTCTACTAGCCTAGACACAGTTACGTAGCTGTAGCTCGTGACAGGCATCTTATCAACAGATGTTTAAACAATTGGTGTAATGTGACCGCCAGCTACTCTCTACCAGGAGCAGCAGAGGGAGTGCCATTGACTGAAGTCTACTAAAAATAGTGTCAGACAAAACCATCAGATCTGCATGGAGCCATGAGGAGAATAATTCTTCTCAAATGAATACATGCAACTAACAGAAATACCAAATCGCCATAGTGCGTATAAAACGTCTATTAAAAAAAAGGCACATCACAGCTTGACAACGCCTATTTCAAATGTCTTGTTTCTCACTAATGTTCCAAAACTTACATTACATTGACACTATGAGGAACCTCGATCACACATATTTGTCATTTGTGTTGTCACATGAAAAGATGGAATCAAATGTTTCCTAACATGTGAGGGATGGACTCACTTTTGTGAAATAATGTATCATTTCTAAATCTCATGTCTTGTCTCTCTCCTGCTAGCTGCTGTGGGTCCTCCCTCCAAAGTGGATCTTTCTCCTGCTGGAAGCGACCTGGACGTTTTCATCTCAGACCCTCTGACCAGCACCAACAGCTCCATGAAGGAACATCTTTCCAAGCTGTACTACCACATCCTTTACTGGGAACGCATTGTAGACACACAGGTAGAGAATGCAGCCCTGGAAGAAATGTTTGTAATGTGATACCTTTCATATAGGTACTTTGTTCAAAAACAGTGAAACAGATGCAGTGCAGCAGGAGAAACCCAACAGTTTCTCTTCACACTTCCAATTTTCTCTTCAGTCCCTAAAGACACCTGGTAAAACCCCTGAGACGCAGCAGCAACATAATCAAATGCTGCACTCAGTCAGTCTGTTAGCACCTTGTGGCTGTGTTTCAGTTATGTTCAGCAGAGTGTTGGTTTTATTGGTTTTAACTTGTGCCCTATATGTCTAGCAGAGGTGTTTGCTGTCTGTGCTACAAGGCGGAATGTCACGAGAGAGAGTGCAAGAGTTCTTGTCTGGTGCGGTGATTTCCTGCCAGCTGCAGCATGCAGGTCTATTTTAAAACTGGTTTGACAAGGAAGACGCAGGTCTACAGCATGTGCTAAAATAACCAGAGCTGATGCAGAGCTGATGAGTATGTCAAACAATTTGGACAAAGGACACACAACGAACAAGGATATAAAAAAACAGCAGTTATTAGCAGCCTGGTAAATAAGTATCACCATATATACATGTTCTTTAAAACTGCATGTGCTGCAGAGAGATTGATAGACATTATAGAAGTTTCTCCATTGATGATGCAAGGCCTCCTTAGGCCATGAGAGGTGAGCGGGCAGGAAGGGAAGCAAGGGCAATCTGACAGACAGAGCAACAAGCAGGCATAATCCTGTGAAACTGTTGTGCGTGTTTCTGTCTGTCCACATGAGGGGCGCAGAGCGACCCTGCAGATCCAAGAGAGGATGTAGACAGAGCGTCGCTCCTTGTCTGAATAGGCCTTTCACCTACTCCTTGTTTTTACATCAGGTCAACACAGTAAGCCTTCATACCATGTATGTGGTATTAAAGATTAATATAGGCAATATAGATAAAAAAATACTACCTAAAACATTTTATTCACTGTAAAAATACACAGCGGAACATGAGAGGGAACAAGGTGATTCATTGTTTTGATTGTTCTTAAAGGCCCGGCCATCTAGCATTTGTATAAAGCATTACTGTGTGTGTTTCTGAGTGAAACAGAATGCATGAGCAAAAATATTTTGCGGCCGATTTTAACGATCCAAGTGTGTGGTGCAGTTGCGTTTGGGGCATGTCCAACTCCAATTTTGCTACTTTAATGACAAAAAATGGTTCAAAAGGGTTGTACTTGGTCTATGAATTAGTCATGGGTGTGTTTTGGGGTGTAACATGCAGTACACCAATCAGTGTTAAAACCATTAATTGACCATCAGTCATTTAAACATTTCCATTTGAACAGTAAAGTCACAGCAAATATCGTGGGACATTTAAGCAGGAATACAAAAAATTTTTGTTATAAACCTGACTGGACTGACAGAGGAAACATAATTCTTTCAGCTTCTGAAATCTAGATGCTCTGATGGAGCTCAGCATTGATCAGGAGGACAGCTGCTTTACTCCAAACACATTCACTATATGAAACTGGACCGTGTGTGAGACTTTATGGATGTGTAGAAGAAAACAGAACATGAATTAACGTTCGATTCTGACCAATGCCGTCAGTTTGTTAGGAGATTTTAATCAATGAAGTTACACTGCTGTGCCTCAAGCACAATCACTTTATGCTGCCTCAAGATAGCAATGTGCAAACAATGAGCCTAACCACACCTCATTTAGAGACCAACACTACTGTGGGCGCCAGTTCATATGCTATTGAAGCAATGTGTAATGGAAATGACAAGTGTGTCGGTTGGAAACTAGCAATGACACTGCGCTTTGCACAGCTTTGCACCAGGTGCAAGATATTGCCCTTAATTGTTTTACAAAAGGGCATCTCTTCGGCGCCAGTCGTGATCCTCGCCCCGAGTCGAGGGCCCATGGCAAATAAACGACCAGAGTTTGAAATGAAAGGGACTTGCGGTTATGGAGCTATAAAGTGAATGTATGTCTATAGGAGTGTTAATGGATATACGATTAATAGTGCCACTTAGAGACCAATTGACACCAAATTCGATACAGCCCTTCGGGAAGTTGTGACGTATCGGACATTCCAAACCTAAGATATGACGTCACTTCCTGTTTTTAGCGGGTTTTCTTGCAAAGATTTGTTAGCTTATAGTTGGAATAGTTTTTTATGTATCAATCTGGGGAGCACAAGCCTGTATCAGCTTCATCCAGAAATTGTCCCTGCCAAGGTGCCGATTGGACTTCGGTTTCAGAAGAGTTCATCAAATTAGGTTTTTCAGTTATCACAATGTAGCGGGGAAAAAGTCTAGCTGGAAATGGGTGTGGCCTATACTACCAGATTCAGCTCGATCCCCCAAATGCGTGGATGAAAGGTTTTTGTCCATATCAAAAAGGAGCGGCAACCTCCGGCTCTCACTTCCGATACCAGTCTTGAAGTAACTTGAACTGCAGTTTATCGAATGGCCACTTGAGGCTGGCTTCAAAAGGCAGTCAATCTCCATTGACCCCCGTGTTAACATGCCCAACTGATCCGATTGCGGTTTGGTGGGCTGCGGTGGGATTGTGGGGCGATTGTCGATGCATCTTGATGCATTGTGCTTTTTCCCTGGGCAGGGTCTCTGAATGGCTGCTGGGTGTTTAGTTTGTGCATTGGAGTCCGGGGGAGGCATTTCCTCGTTGGCTTGGAGGGACCTGTTTCCGTCCCTGTTTTGCTTCATTGGCCTCGGATCCGTGCTTCCCCATTTCTCTGTCGGCCAGTTGCTGGACCCCTCTGGATACTGAGGTATATAGTTTTTCGGGATGTGCAGTGTGGGTGCGGGGCAGGGCTGTGCTCCGGTTTGTTCTGGGTTTGTGCCTGGAGTTCTCGGCCCTTGACGGGTGGGTTGGTTTTTGGTGGCATTCAGCTGAGCTAGTTGATTTTGCCTCGTTGCTGGTTTGGCTGGTGTTGCACGGCGGCCCGGGGGGGGCGTGCTGGGCATGGGGGATGTCTGCTGGCGACGGCGGCCTTAGTTTTTTCCGGCGGTTGGGGGGACATAACTAACGATATGTAAAAGAGTTAATTGATTTGCTTCAAATTGTTTGAGATGTAAACGTTAACATAATTAATAACTTATTTAAGTGTTGCAAAATAACGTTACCACATTTATATATTAAAAAGCATTTAAAACCTCGTAATGTCAATAACAGAAATGTTGGTTATTTTTCATATTTTCCGGTGTCTTACCTTGGCCACAGGTTCCAACCTCCACCATACAGCACCAGGGGTTTAGAAGCTACCTCTGCTGCTCTTTAGAATGCAGAGGTAGAGAGGTTGGACTCTACGTCCATTTTTATATACAGTCTATGTGTGGGCGTTGGGGGGGATTTGAAAGGTCAAAGTTTTGACCTTTCAAATCCCCTAGACTGAATGAATAATGGTACAGATATTTATAGTAGTGTTTATGATAATAATCATGATGATGATAATGATGATAATAACTAGAACTGCAAGCAGTTGTAAGCTGGGTCTAAGCCGCCCCCCCCCAAATGTTAATTGGACTTATGGAGATATGGAGATATAAAATGCATGTAAGTCAATGGGATTTTTTTGTTTGCGCCAACTAGGGGCTAACTGTACCACAATTTTGCTCAGGGGGGCATGCCTCAAGTTTTGTGTTAATCAGCCTTTCCAAGCCAGAGATATGTTATACTTCATGTTTTTAGCGTTTTTGCAAATATTTGTTAGCTTGTAAATGGGACATTTTTTGATGGATCAAAATTCCCACTACAAACTTTCTTCGGCTCGGTCCAGAGATGGTCCGTGCCAAGTTTCGTGTCAATCGGACTTGCGGCTTCGGCGGAGTTAATTAAAATAGGTTTTCCAGATTTCGCGAAATGAAAACGTCATTGCACAGAGGCGCGTCCTATACCATAGGATTCGGCAGCATCGTGGTCTGATGAAACAACACGGTCTATACATCAGGTCTGGACAGAGTGTAAGAAGTTTTTGAGAATTAAAAAATAGGCTAGAATATGAATTGTGAGGATGTGAATAAAACGTGTAGTCCCTCACTTTAGGATTTAAGTGTTCCCATATGTCCACCAATACAGTATCTGTGCAAGTTTAAGGACAGCAGATGTCCTTGGGTTAAATATGTTTGCAGAGACAAACAAAACAATTACTAAAATATCACTTTTTTAAATATTTTTTAATCAATAAATTTATTTTAAAATGTTTTTGTCTTAAAATATACACAGACGTTACTGTTTCATTTATTTATATTTTTGTTTATATATATTTATATTTTTCCACACACGCTTACTGTTTTTTTATATATTAAAATTTTTTAACACACACACACTTACTGTTTTGTTTAGTTTTTTAATATATTTTTATTATTTTAAAATGCACACACGCTTACCGTTTTATTTATTTATATTTTAATTTTTAATTCTATTTTTATTTTTTTTACACAAACACACATACGCTTTGATTACTTTACACTTTAATTGTTTAATGAAATGTATGGGGTTGATTGTTCTTATGTTGTATGTATGATGCTTTGGCAATATTGTTGTTACACATTCATGCCAATAAAGGTAAATTGAATCGAATACAGAATGCATAGAATTTGGTGATGTAGTACGAAATGGTGCATACAGTGTTTTTTATTTTTTTATTTGTAGAGTTTATTCATCTGTACTTAACTGCTTAACTGTAGTGTGCTGGCTCATAAATAAATGAAATGAAGGGTCCTCCCTAAGTTCTCATTTCTCCCGTGTCCTTCAGGCTTTAAGAACTGAAACGTTGAGTAGCAGTGCCAACGTGGTGACTTTGCCAAACCTGCAAGCCTGGACTTGGTACTGTGTCAGCGTCCAGTCACGCGAGGACTACTACAACAAAAGCAGCAGCTTCACCTCACCACAGTGCATGCAGACTGAAGGTAATGCATATTAAAACGACACATTTACATTTATTCGATCAGAATGAAATGATTGGTTGGCCTTACTGCCTACCTCTGCCTTTGCACTCACTGTGCATGAAATGGGTTTTGGGGGAGTGGGTGGGATTTTTTTGGGTTGATACTTTCAAAATCAACTCTTAACATTGCTACCCCAGCTTTAATGTTTTAATGATTGAAGCAGTGCAAAGCTTTCTGCAAGGCCCCAGCCTTCACCAAGACAAAGGCCGTCACACATTTTAGAATACATAAAACATTTGTCTTTCAAGTAGATGTGGTCAATGACAAGTTTTCAGTTTGATCGGTTGTGGCCGGTGACCAGCGCCAATTAGTCTCCATATCTGATCCTGTGCCAGTCAGCGTTTTACGTCACATTCACAGGGGTACAGACACCGACTAATGGCACAGCCACACACACATGCTAAAGCATGTCGTCGGCGTGGAAATTCTTCACTATGAGTAAAGAAGACTCAAAGTTCACAATTTATAAAATCTGTAAGACCAAAATAAGCTGTTTCTGCACACAGACTTACATGCCCAGGTTTATTAACTGTTGCCAACGTATATGTAGTGACTCATTTTAGCACTTTGCAGAGAAACACACTTAGAGAGATGTTAATCAATTTTAAATCATTTTTATTTATATAACACCAATTCGTGACAAAAGTAATTTCATTGCACATTTCATATAGAGCAGGTCTAGACTGTAGTCTTTGATAGTATAGATAATATTTTGTTGTCTGGAATTGCGTTGGAAGAGTCGGATGCGATGGATATTTTACAGGCCTGTTTCACTAAAGCAGAACTCAGACATCCAGGATAACAAAAGGTGGGGCTTGATCCAGTCTAGTCTGTGCATCATGGCTTTATAGATTTCACGTTGGCCAAGCATGTTTGAGGTGGTGCAACTAGGTGTAGCCTGGTGTAAGTAATTTGGATTCAACTTTCTTCAACAGACCATGAGGTTGATCACAGATTTACTTACAATAGCTCATAAAAGTGAGTAGACCCCTCACATTTTTGTAAATATTAGATTATATCTTTTCATGTGACATCACTAAAGAAATATGACACTTTGCAACAATGTAAAGTAGTGAGTGTACAGCTTGTATAACAGTGTAAATTTGCTGTCCCCTCAAAATAACACATCACACAGCCATTAATGTCTAAACGGCTGGCAACATACAGTGAGGAAAATAAGTATTTGAACACCCTGCTATTTTGCAAGTTCTCCTACTTAGAAATCATGGAGGGGTCTGAAATTGTCATCGTAGGTGCATGTCCACTGTGAGAGACACAAAAAAAAATCACAGAAATCACAATGTATGATTTTTTAACTATTTATTTGTATGATACAGCTGCAAATAAGTATTTGAACACCTGTCTATCAGCTAGAATTCTGACTCTCAAAGACCTGTTAGTCTGCCTTCAAAATGTCCACCTCCACTCCATTTATTATCCTAAATTAGATGCACCTGTTTGAGGTCGTTAGCTGCATAAAGACACCTGTCCACCCCATACAATCAGTAAGAATCCAACTACTAACATGGCCAAGACCAAAGAGCTGTCAAAAGACACTAGAGACAAAATTGTACACCTCCACAAGGCTGGAAAGGGCTACGGGGAAATTGCCAAGCAGCTTGGTGAAAAAAGGTCCACTGTTGGAGCAATCATTAGAAAATGGAAGAAGCTAAACATGACTGTCAATCTCCCTCAGACTGGGGCTCCATGCAAGATCTCACCTCGTGGGGTCTCAATGATCCTAAGAAAGGTGAGAAATCAGCCCAGAACTACACGGGAGGAGCTGGTCAATGACCTGAAAAGAGCTGGGACCACCGTTTCCAAGGTTACTGTTGGTAATACACTAAGACGTCATGGTTTGAAATCATGCATGGCACGGAAGGTTCCCCTGCTTAAACCAGCACATGTCAAGGCCCGTCTTAAGTTTGCCAATGACCATTTGGATGATCCAGAGGAGTCATGGGAGAAAGTCATGTGATCAGATGAGACCAAAATAGAACTTTTTGGTCATAATTCCACTAACGTGTTTGGAGGAAGAAGAATGATGAGTACCATCCCAAGAACACCATCCCTACTGTGAAGCATGGGGGTGGTAGCATCATGCTTTGGGGGTGTTTTTCTGCACATGGGACTGAGCATTGAAGATGGGTCGAGGCTGGGTCTTCCAACATGACAATGACCCGAAGCACACAGCCAGGATAACCAAGGAGTGGCTCTGTAAGAAGCATATCGAGGTTCTGGCGTGGCCTAGCCAGTCTCCAGACCTAAACCCAATAGAGAATCTTTGGAGGGAGCTCAAACTCCGTGTTTCTCAGCGACAGCCCAGAAACCTGACTGATCTAGAGAAGATCTGTGTGGAGGAGTGGGCCAAAATCCCTCCTGCAGTGCGTGCAAACCTGGTGGAAAACTACAGGAAACATTTGACCTCTGTAATTGCAAACAAAGGCTACTGTACCAAATATTAACATTGATTTTCTCAGGTGTTCAAATACTTATTTGCAGCTGTATCATACAAATAAATAGTTAAAAAAAATCATACATTGTGATTTCTGGATTTTTTTTTTTTAGATTATGTCTCTCACAGTGGACATGCACCTACGATGACAATTTCAGACCCCCCCATGATTTCTAAGTGGGAGAACTTGCAAAATAGCAGGGTGTTCAAATACTTATTTTCCTCACTGTATGTTGCCAGCCGTTTAGACATTAATGGCTGTGTGATGTGCCTAAGCAAAAATGTCCAAATTGGGCCCAGTTAGCCATTTTACCTCCCCGGTGTCGTGACTTGTTAGTGTTATGGCAAAGAACTGTCTAAGGATCTGGAAAAAAAAGAACGGTTGCTCTACATAAAAATGGCCTAGGCTCTAAGAAGATTGCCAAGACCCTGAAACTGAGCTGCAGCACGGTGGCCAAGACCATACAGCGGTTCAACAGGACAGGTTCCACTCAGAACAGGCCTCGCCATGGTCGACCAAAGAAGTTGAGTGCACATGCTCAGCGTCATATCCAGAGGCCGTCTTTGGGGAAATGGATGTATGAGTGCTGCCAGCATTGCTGCAGATGTTGAAGGGGTGGGAGGGTCAGCCTGTCAGTGCTGAAGGAGTGAAGTGATAAGAAGGATTTTAAAGAGGCGGTATTATGCTTTTTGGTTTTTTTCCTCTCCTTTATTGAGTTATATACATTTTTTGGGCATGTAATAGTGTGAAAAAGTGAAAAAGCCCAAAGTCAAGCCCAAAGGGAGTTCCCATCTCCCACAGAAAACTCTGCTTTGAACTTCCTGAAAACAGCTTGTTTGTAGTTCAGCCATTTCCCTTGGAATGAAAGGGATGAAAGCTAAATGCTCCTCATAACGCTCCAACACCCTCAAAAACACCAGTGGAAAAACAGTGAGCTGCAGCACACACCTCCCTCTGTCGCTAAAACGAAGCCTTCAACATACAGGGTGAAAAGAGGAGCTGCAGCAATGTGAAGAATGACAAAAATATGGTCTTTGTTGAAAATTAAACCATGTAAACCTGTTTTGGTACTACCCCTAAATAAGATTTTGAACCTGAAAATGAGCATAATACCACCTCTTTAAATTCTATTCTGCATTTTACAGAAAGCCAGTGCAGAGAAGCTAAACCAGGAGAAATATCTCTTTTTCCTGGCCATCCAGAGTAACTATATCTTTGGATAATGCGTCTCTGAGGTGTTTAGGCCCCAGTACAACGACTTCAGTTTTCATATAATTTTGTTTTCTTTTCTATTTTTTACAGCACACACTTAGACGAAACAAATAGAGTTAGCAGAGGTGAAAATGAAATATCAGAATCAGCTTTATTTGCCAGGTACATGTACACATACAAGGAATTTGACTCAGGATTATACATTGCTCACAATGTGCTTACTAATAATACAATATGAAAATTACACACAGACTACAGTATAGAGAACACATATATACTCACTATAAACAAAAACAATATAGACAGATTGAGACAATAGTGGATCGTCCACCGAAGATAATATCTTCCGATGCCAAATTTTTTTTGGGGGGGGGTGTGTGTGATCCAATTTTTGACTGATTTCTTTGCAGCAGTTATGAAGGCCAAGATAATTTTACAGAAAGGACTGGGAAATTTGCATTGTGTCATCATTCAGTAGAAGAAATAAACATACTTTTCTAATGGAGCACCTAAAAAGTGGCTTTGCTCAGTGGCTTTATTTTTGTGGTAGAGTGTATGGGTAAGAAGCAGCCACACTGTCAGATGGGATTTATTTGCTCGAATGCTTGAGTGTTATGGTGTTATCAGATGACCAAACTGACAAGTTCACTGAAATCAAACACCATTCCTCTTTCATTCCTCCATGTTTACAGCTGTGTGCTTAAGAGTGATGTTCTTCTCAACTTCAGCGCATAAACACCTTTTATGTGGTTGTCTTCAACTATGACACACTATGACTGCTGGCTGTTATTCTGATGCCGTCACAAGGAGACACGGGGGCCTTTCTCATTTCCCAAATTTCTGCCTCCTTGCCCCCTTGATCCTTGACTCCTGGCAGCGCGTCTTAGTCCCTCCCACCCGAGATGCAAGCTCGAGGAGAGAGGAGTCGAGGAAACAGGCGTTTAAAAAAATGAGAGATCCTTTCCTCTGAGTTGTCATTTTAAAGCAACATCTATTAAATATGACCTGTTGCACAGCTGCATCATCTGTCCACTGTCTGAGCTGTGATCTCTGTCAGATGAGCAGACCAGCTGTCTGCACTAAAGGCTACAGATCAGATCCTCACAATCCAGAAACGTGTCCGTCAACATTATAAGGCAAAGAAACATCTCGAGGTTCCAATAAAAATTCTAGCATCTGTTGAAAACAGTCACAGATTACAGCAGCCCAATCATTCACTACATATAAGTAACTTTTTTTGGCAGTGCGCCTTTTGTCTGTAAACAGGAGATCATTTCACCTGGCAAGGTGAGCGTTTTGTTAATGATGCCATCGGGACTCTACTGTTGTAATGACCTGTGCAGACTACATGGGCACTATTAAAACATGAAACAGAGCAGATCAGTACTGAATACTCTGGTTGATATTACTGCCTAATAATTTGACTTCAGCAGATGTTTGCACTGTTTTTTTCAAGATTATGGCAGATGAATTGGTGTGATGCGTGGATCGGAATACTCATATAGGTCTACACAAAAATCACTGTTTTACTGTATGAAACTGGACTGTGTGTGAGACCTCTTTGGATGTGTAGAAGAACACAGAACATGAATTAACATTAGATCCAGACTGATCCTGTCGGTGTGTCGGGAGATTTTTAATTATTAATTTATGTTGCTGTGGCACCTGCGTAAATGCGCACAGCGTCTCTGGTGAGGCGCTTCACCCAGCCAGCCGCTGTTCAGTGTACATTTTTATGATCCTGCTGCCCATCCACACATCACATTCAACAATAACAACATCAGTGATATCAAAGTGATATGACATTAAGGAATGTGGGTAGAACAACTTTATGAGGCGCTACACAAACAGTAAAGGGCAGAACGTTTGATCACACATTTGATCATTTATATCAAATAATTAATAGAACAGGAACACTGCTCAGGTTATGGGTTGGTCCAGCTGCATGTCACACCTCTTTTAAACGTCACAGCGGCTGAAAAGACTTCCGCAAAGGATACGCAGATGTATCCTAGCTTATAGCTCCTCCAGGATGCCTCCTCTATCTTCCATCCTCGCTCCTTGATGTGCATTTTAGGAACTGAGATGTCCTTCAAGATGGTGAGCTGAGATTGATTTCCGGGTTACAGGCTTGAGGATCGAGGAGGCACAAATTTGGGAAATGAGAAAGGCCCACAGACTTGATGATCATAACCAGTGTTGGGGTAGTTACTCAAAAAAGGTAATTACACATTAATAGTTATTTGTTTTTTTTTGTTTTTTAAGGAATTACTTTACTAGATTAATCACTGCTGTAAGTAACTAGTTACACTACTAGTTACAATACTTTTCAGATCAACACAAATCCTTATTATAATAATGCTCTTAAATAATGCTCTTTCAGTGTTTCCTCTATATGCATATCCTCTATATGAATCACGACCGCCGCTACTAAAATTCCCCACGATCATTAAACTATGTGCTTCAAATGTTTTCGCAAGCACGGCAGCACTCGATGCTCGGCTCGCTTCCTCTCCTCGTTCTATGCAGAACATACGTGACAGATGGTGTTATAAGAGCAGCGTAACTCTGAATCGGGAGGTGTGTAGCGAGTGTTTGATTGTCCGAGCCGCAGAAAGTGACGGTGAACGCGAGCGGAGGAAAATATTCTGGCAGTAAATGTACGGTGTCTGTTACAGTGTGTTCGCTTCTCAAGACCAAGAAAAGTCTGTTGTTTCCCACCTGCTGGAAAAGTGAAGCCGGTTAGCGCTAAGTTAGTGAACATCTCCCCTTCAGACTGTGCAGCTGAGCAGGAAAGCTTCTACAGCAGCTACAGAGCTGCTATGTAACTTAACATTAGCTCAATTTATAGAAAGTAACTGGAAGCTGTATTTTATTACTGCTTACTTGTCCAATGTTGAGAACATCAGGTACAGACTTAGACAAAACTGACGTAGCCTGCAGCTCTGTCCTGTACAGACTGATTCAATTATTTTTCAGTTTTCAGTCTGAAAAAGTGGTTTTGGAAAAGAAAGGAGGGAGGTGATTAGAGGAGCTGAGGTTAGTACTATTCAATTCAATTTTATTTATATAGCGCCAAATCACAACAACAGTTACCTCGTAGCGCTTTTCATAAAAGAGCAGGTCTAGACCGTACTCTATGATGCTATTTACAGAAGCCCAACAGGGCTTCAGACCAAAGAAACAGACGAGGACCATGGTATCAAAACAATGAAAGGAACCTTTTTTGCAGCCATCAAGAGACGCTTCACTGACACGGGAAAAAACCCACTCTACTGTATTGCAACAGTACTCGATCCAAGGTTAAGTGTGTGCGTGAGTGTGTTGATCATGTGATGAGAGAATGATGAAAAGAAAATGTTATTATGATATCAACCTAAATAATCAATTAAATTTATTAAGATATTTTCCGACATTCAGTTACTATTTCAAACAAGCTTGTCTACCAACAGCTAAAATATAATTCTCTGATTTAGTTATAAAGATCGTTTTTTTTTTTCAAACAAAAACACTGCCACAGAGGCCAAAGAGATGGTGATGCAGGAGATGCAGAATGTGTCTAGAGGAGAGGCAGACAAGCAGGAAGATCTGGGGGAACCACCTGCAAGAAAGATACGCAAGGCCCAGGCCAGCAGCACTCTGGAGAGTGTGTTTGATGAGAGAGCAAATGCGCAAGCATCGACATCACTGAGCACTGCACCTATGGGTGCTGCCACTCAGTTAGAGACATACCTTGGAGAGAACACAACTTCTCGGGAAGACAAACCACTTCAGTATTGGAGCGTTAACAAAGTGCGGTTTCCGACACTTGCCCAAATGTCACGCAGATACCTCTCAGCCCCATGCAGTAGTGTGGAAAGTGAAAGGCTATTTAGCTCAGTGTCACATATTGTGGATGAAAACAGAAACAGGCTCACAGCTGATAATGCAGAGAAGCTTCTTTTCATCAAAAAGAACCTGCCCCTCACTTTTCCAAAAAAGGCTTAATCCTCACAGACAGCATTTACATATGATAACATACAGTGTCCTTTCATTTGTTCTTCAACAGTTTGTATGTTTAGTTATTCTGAAATTAACTGTGTCCCAAGTTAAATTTATGTGAAATGGGTAGCAGACAATGCCATGTTTGTTCAGGAAAAGTTGAATGTTAAAATGACAGCAACTGCATCAAGATGTATTTGTTACAGTCAGGTGAGAACAAAACATGCAAATAAAACTAACAAATTGTAAGAACTGTAATGGTATTATTAAGTACTCATATCGGTACTCGGTATCGGCAAGTACCCAAATGTAAGTACTTGTACTTGGTCTGAAAAAAAGTGGTATTGGTGCATCCCTACCCGAATTGCCTGGCTGTTCGGCCGGTGTATGAATGTGTGTGAATGTTAGTTTCTGTTTGAGCACTTAGGCTCAGTGTGTGAATGTTGAATGTAGATGTAGTGTATGTAGAAAGGCGCTATACAGGTACGGAGCATTTACATTTACAGGCGCACTAGAGTATCGCTGTCCTTTCACAAAACATTATGAATACATCCTCGAAAGACGTCTTTCTGCGTCCTCTTGAAAGTCAAAAGTGAGGTCGGAAAAGTGTTACACAAACCGAAAAGGGACGTAGGATTTATTTTTCTCTCCTGTTATGCGGCTAATTCAAAAACCAGTTCGCAAGTAATGCGATGATTTTGTTAGTAACTGTAATGTGATTACTGAAGTTATCAACAGTAATGTGTTACATTACTGCGTTACAGACAGAAGTAATCTGATTACAGTAATGCGTTACTTTCTAACGTTACCCCTAACACTGATCATTTTATTTAGGAATGGGTACTAAAAGCCACTAGTAAAAAGACTGTAGTATTATCACCCTGCAGCCTCTGCCTGCTGTGTTTCCTCCTACACACACATGAACTGCCATCTGTTCTGTGGCCAGTGTAGACAGCTGGATTGTTTAAAATAGAAGCACATCTGTTCCCTCAGACGTGTGAGGATGAAAAACGTGTGGATTCATTTTGCTGTACCACCTTCTGGTGTGACCAGGCCCTAACAGTTATAGTGTACATAGCTGTACACGATTAGGCTCGTCACTGAGCTGGCCCCAGAAGGTTGTGTATGGACCCCAGGTCTATGTACTGACAGCAAATCAGAACTAAATTTGTATCATCCTCACTAAGAAATCCTGTTTTGCATTGTTATAGCACATGTCAGAGGGAAAAAAGCACTGCAGGGGCATCTGTACCTCTGACACACTCATGTCTTCATGTTTGTAGATGACATGCCACATGCAGCTATGCTCAAATATGAACTAATCTATGTACATGTGTGTCCTTGTGTTTACCAGGTGCTACTCCGTGGTGGCTGATCTTTGTGTACTTCCTTGGCTCTCTGGTGATCTGCTTCTTGGTTATGCTGCTCTCACTCTACAGCTCATTCTGGTGCTACAAGACTGTCAAGTCAACTCTGTGTCCCCCCGACCAACTGCCTCCACACTTGAAGAAGGTGAGCAGTTACAGCCCACTGCAGACGCCACACACTTGTCTTATTAGAGCTGGATGTGTGTAGACTGCAGGCAGCATCTAGCTTATGTTTACATTTAGATATTTAAAGGAAAATTGGGATTTTAATAACCTGGGTCATAAATTTGGACAATTAAATGCAGTACAGGAAGGTTATCTGTTGTTGGTTAAAGAACATATAGCTAACCTCTAGATATAGCAGGTGATTATTCACAAACAAGTGACCAAATAATACATACATACATTTGTATTTCAGCGTTTATCTCACTAAAGTTTATATATTCAGTTCCACCAGAAGGTCAAACTCTCTTCTTTCCTCTTCCTCCTCACCCTAATCCTCCCTCCAGTATTTTTGTGCCTCTCCTGGGTCTGACATTCCCCACCTCCTCTCCCGGGATTCTGAATCAGAGCTGTTGTGTGATAAGGTGACCGTCTGTCCAGAGTCACCGGTCCTGGAAATCCACAACCCTCCCCCTGAGGCCCTGCCAGTTTTGCCAGCAGACCTGGAGCCAGACAGCAGGTCAATCTAATCTCTGATGCAGCTCATGTGTTACTCTAATGTTTACAAAGCACACATGCATTTAATAACAAATGACTGATTACATTTCATTTTCAATAATTCAGCCAGTGTTAGACTCCACAGTGGCCCCACATGGTGATATGTGCTGAATGGATATTTGTTGTCAGCGTCATAAATGTACCTTCCCCTTGATGTATTTCAGCAGCAGACACAGTCGTCAGGACAGCAGCAGCAGCAGAGACTCGGGGGTTTACTCCACAGGTGGCAGCTCCAGCCTGCAGCAGCCCAGCAGCAACCAATCCTCAGGACAGGCCCCCTTCGACATGGAGCAGGTGAAGATGCAGGACATGGCTTCAGGGCTGAAGAGTCAGCTTCTGACCGCAGACGAGGGCATTGTAGACATGTGTGTCTGAAGACATGCATGTGAAAAGACGTTAGCTGAGAAGAGCCTGAAGCAAGGATGATATTAAGGAAGAAAATGTGCAACATGCCTTTTCTCTAGCAGTCACTGTGAGACTTAAAATATAAGAAATCACAAGATGATGACAAACTCGCACAGGGAACATCTTGATCTGCTGTCACTCAGTGTTTCCAGTTTCCAAGGAGGAAGGGTGTACTCTTCACTGTTCCAGGGTTCCTACACAGTAAGGAAAAATCTGGAATTTGATTTTAGTTATTTCCAGGCCTGGGTAAATATGTGGAAAGAGAGTATGGAAAAATATGTGTGTTTCCAGAGCTTTGCCCCTATTCTGTTCCCTAAAATATAAAATTCAAGAATTTCTGAAGGTAAATTGATCATACAAGCATTTTTCTCTTGGCGTTTGGAGCAGGCAACCAGCACAGCCAAATGTTTCCCACCATGTGCCAGAACACAGAGGTGCTTTGGTTTCTTATTTTACAGTTTGTGTTAATAATGATCTAGTCTCGCATAGCCAGACCTGTCTGCACCTGGTTTTAGCCTGCCAGTGCTGGAGAAAGGTTGGGCTAAATCCATTATTGTTCTGGTATAGGGAGGGGGGCTCCAATTGCCTCACAGTGGCCGTTGCCCCCATGGCCACGTGTTGGCACCACCACTGCCAGAGTGAGCTTGATGTCGTCAAGGGCAAGGCAAGAAGTATGGCGTGCGACTGAACGATGATCACGTCACACACCACGTCCCACAGCCCAGCTCTGCTCCAGGTGCCTCATAACTACAGGGTCTTAAAAAGTCTGTAAAGGTGATAAATCAGTTTCGCGAAAATTAAGGCCATTAAAAAGTCTTAATCGCCATTTAACAAGGTATTCAATTGTGAAGATTTTTTTTCAATGTGAAATCCTGTTTATAATGCATAGCCAAAAATACTTGGCAGTGAGTAGCGACTGTGTGATTCGACTCTGTAATGTTAGGCGCAGGGATCTACTGTGCGCCTGTTTCACTCTTAAACACTCCAAAAAATAGATCCATGCAACCGGAAAATGATTTACGAGTACGACCAACTGTAATCTCCCACCCCACCGGACCATCAATGCTAATTGTTCAAAACATAGTCGGAGTGGCGATCAGGAGTAACGGGATTAACCCGGTTGGCCGGTCGCTCTGTGGCCACTTGAACAGCCCCGTTCCTGAAAAACAAGAGCGAGATGCACCGCCAGTGGCTGAATCGGTGGGTTTGGCTATGGTTAGCTGGCTATTTAATTAAATTGGTGCCTTTTATTGAAACATATTCAACTTTTCATAAAGCTGATACACTCATCAATGTCATACACATCACAGCCTGGATGGAGCAGGTTTAAAAAAAGTCTGATGTGCTGCAACAAACAATACAAATATAAATGTTGAACTCTCTGCATAAATGGGTATGATTACTGACTAGTTAGTAGCCTGCCTAAAGTCAAGGTTGGAGAATATCATGTAGCCTAGAGCATTCTTCTTGCACAAAGACAGACTGAAACAGCTGTAATTTGAATTAATATTATTACAATATGTTGAAAAGGTATTGAATTTTACTTCCTGTAGATACCCTGAACTAGCACATTCTGACATCTGCTACCAAATTAGATGATTAAAGCAACATCTTCATCTGCATCACAAATAACCAAATATTAAGTGTGTCTGAGGATCTAGTTATGCAGTGGTTTGGTCATCAGAAAAGTAAACCCACCGTGAGGACCTTTATGGCTGCATTCATCATCGTTTCCATGGATGCAATAAACAAGACTGCCCAGACGCCATGAAAATTAAATGATTAATTTTTTCCCATCTCATTTTCGGTTCTTACTTATAAAAGAGAATAAAAAACATGGAGGGGGGGGTTAATATAATATTATTTATTGATTATTTTAAGTCATAAGTCATATGAGTAGAGGCAGCACCGGTAAGTTTACTGATTATTATTGCTTTTAATGAGTTAATGTAATGAGCTCACAGGTGTTGATTAGGTAGCATTAAACAAACACAAGCAGATGAAGTCAAAGTCGATTGACTTCTTAAAACCTGGTTGTAGTTGCCGAGGAGTGGGAAGCTTTGAATGAACAGGGAGCAAATACACTCAATTACCAGTTTATTAGGAACATCTAGCTCTGCAGAAAGTTCTCTCATAATGTTCAGTTTTTGTTGAAACGGTTTTAGAGACTCCTGTAGTTTTTGGGGCGGCTGAATTGCATTGTGTAATTGTACAGGTGTTTTAAATGGGTGGACAAAATAACAGAAACACGTAGGTGTCGTTGCCACTTACTGATAAAATGATATTTAGAATTGTTCTGTTTAGCGTGTTGCTAAAATGTGTGGTGATTTAGATGAACTGGAACAGAGAAATCCTCTTTAAACAGGGTACTTTGACTGAGTGATTTCTTCTGATATCCAGAAATCCATCCAAAACAACATCAAATGGAACATTTTCCATCCAATTTCATACTGAACTCGTTCTGCGTTGTTGTTGTTTTTTGTCTTAAACAAAAGAAAGGAAGGATTTTATTTCTGTCCTTTCTGTTCTCCTCTAACCAGCAAAGAAATTCAATATGACTTTATACCCAGATAAAACTTCCTAGTAGTCACTATTATGAAAGCAAAGTTTTAGCTTTTGTGTGCATATAATGTGTATGTGTCTCCTGAGATAAGCTTGTATTCATTGTAACAGGAGCATTTGAATACATTTATGATTCTTATAGAATCTTGGTGGCATATTAGTTACATTTGTTCTTACGAGATATTTGAGACTATATTTTCTTCAAATTTGTCATCTGGGTTTTATTATTTACACCCCTGTTCGTCTTTCATGCCTGTTTTTTGTTCTTTTTAGTGAGAAGCTTGGTTATAAAAGAACTTGCATGTACACATGTACAGTTGTACATACAGGCACAGTTAAGTTAGTCTTGTATGTTAACTTCAAAGTTTTACCTCACACATTTATCTGAATCATTTACTTCACATTCCAAAAAGATGAAAAGCTGAGCAAGCGTATTTTGTGAATAAATGGAGCCGGGAGCGGGTCGTCTCTGCTCTGTGTACTTGTACAATTTATTGAAATACTTTCATCATCATCTGCTTTATAACAAAAAATATGAATTGCCTTTTCTGCGTCTGCAGTACTAGGATGTATGGCTGATATTCTGAGGCAGCAGACGGTAAGGAAATACACAAAACAGGAACAAGTCAAACCGATCTGCATGTGGAATGCGATGGTAAACAAACGAGACAAATATCAAGTCAGGGCAATTCAAATTAATGTAAAGTTTTCAACACCACAAAATGGACAAATGATATACTTTTGGACAACTCATTTATTAAATGTAACTTTCATTTCCAGAAGCTTGCTCTTGCTTGACTTGTTGCAGTATTTCCAGTCTGTTATGCCTCAGCATCCTGCCTATCACGGTCTGTTGCTTCATCTGTTGAAATTGTATATAAGCATGTTGCGTAGCAGTGTACTGGTGAAGTGCACAAAGCAGTGGTGATGTCACTGTATATGTCTGGTCTCACATCTTTGCATCTACTGCACCAATGTTAATGAACAATCATAAAAATGAAATAAATCCTGTCTCATATCAAAGCTTTGTGACAGAATGAGTGTATTTATTCTCACACACAAACATCCTGAGCTCCACATTGCTCACTGTTCGAGCTGATACACTGATCCCAGGGTTAAAGTATCTGGGGTAAAGATTACTTTACCCAAGTTCAGGCCTTTAGTACCTGTATCTGGTCTTGAGACATTTTATTATCTTGGACTTGTCATGGCCTGCTGGGTGTTTTTACACGGACTTGTCTCGGTCTCAGCTACAGGTCTAAGGTCTTGACAAAGTCCAGCTGGATCTCTCAAAAAGGGTTACTTGTGGTTCCTAGAGTCTCCAAAAGTAGAATGGGAGCCAAAGCTCCTCTCCTGTGGAACCAGGTTCCAGTTTGGGTTCAGGAGGCAGACACCATCTCCACATTTAAGAGTAGGCTTAAGACTTTCCTCTTTGATAAAGCTTATAGTTAGGGCTGGCTCAGGTAGTCCTGAACCATCCCTTAGTTATGCTGCTATAGGCCTAGACTGCCGGGGGATTTCCCATGATGCACTGAGCTCCTCTCTCCTCTACTTTCTCTCCCTCTGTATGCAACCTCATCCCATTATTGCATGTTACTAACACAACTTCTCCCCTTTCTGGTAGTCTTGTGCTTTCTCGTCTCTCTCCTCTCTCCTCCTATCACTTCCTGCAGGTTTTCTGGCTCTGGAGCTGTGGAGTCTGAATCTGTGGTTGCGAGTCACCTGCTGCCCCCGTGTTCCTGCTCGACACCCTCTACTGCAACAATTATTGTTACTAGTCCTATTATTATTATTGTTATTGTAATCATTAACATTACGATTATTATCATTAACACTACTATAAATATCTGTACCATTTTTCATTTAGTCTATAGCAACATCACCTTTACTGTCTGTACCTCTGTGTGTATATTGTGTAGGCTGCCTCCCTCCCCTCTCTCTCCTTCCATCCCTCTCTCTTTCTCTGTTCCTCTCCTGCCCTCTTTCTCTCTGTTCTTCTCTTCCCCCCCCCCCCTTCACCCCAACCGGTCGAGGCAGATGGCCGCCCACCCTGAGCCATGGTTCTGCTCGAGGTTTCTGCCTCTTAAAAGGAAGTTTTTCCTTGCCTCTGTCGCCTAGTGCTGCTCTTGGTGGGAACTGTTGGGCTTCTGTAAATAACATCATAGAGTACGGTCTAGACCTGCTCTTTTATGAAAAGCGCTGTGAGATAACTGTTGTTGTGATTTGGCGCTATATAAATAAAGTTGAATTGAAGATGTGACTTGAAAATTAACTGTATGCAGTAGTGTTAAAGGATTTCAGAAGAGGAAATAAACAGAAAGCCAAAAACTGAGCGTAAGCTTTGATTTGAGTTACATGAATTCAGTTTCACTGAAACACTTTAGCCTAATAAATCCCAAGACACTGTGATCATACTCTGGGTTATTCAATAACAAATTCACAATCAGGATCAATAAATTTTAATGCAGAGAATATAAGCATTGTGCCAGTAAAAATGATCCTGTGCCTCTGAGCAGGACATACAGAAACCTATAATTATTCATGTTCAGGCGTTTGTTAAACAGGAAACAGCTACAGAGAATCACGCTGCTCTGCACTGAGAACTGGGTAGTACAACACAGTGCACATGTGTGCAGACACAAACTCCAACTCCGTCTCATGTCTCTAAATATTTCCTCATTCTTTCTCTCCTTGCTTGGTTTCCTTGCATCTCTCCATGAATCTTCGGCGGGCGGGCCTAAGACGCAAGGAAAAGACGCAAGTGAGGGAAACGTGGATGTAATTAAGAGACTTGAGAAGCACCCTTAGTTTTAAATCTGACCCAATAATCCCTCCATACTGGTGTATCCTCGCTCATAGCTCCTCCTCGCTCCTCAAGGCACAAATTAGAGTTTTGGAACGGCCTGCAAAATGGCGGAGCAGAACAACTTCCGGTTCGAGCGAGAAAACGACAAATAAGGGAAATAGCTGTCTTCATCCAATATTTTAAGGAAGTGTCTCGGTTCAGGCTGAATGCTGTGTTTTAGTTTTAACGGGAAGGTTTTGGCTACAATGGAGACAAATGTGTTCGGGGACTCGTCGCGCTCTGTGAAATGATGCTGTCACGATGCTGTGGGTTGTGCTGTACGTTCAACTCGTCGTCCAAGGTAAGAAGTTTAACAACTGCGGTTTCGTTTCAGCTAACCTAACGTTAGCTGTCTGTGCTAGATATGAGGCAACATGCTTTTTACATGTGTGTGTGTGTGTGTGTGTGTACCTAAGATAACACAAACAGGCCTCTGCCATTAAATTAACGTTAGTCCTACTGAAGACGTTCTCATCTTTTATGGAAGGGGCTGTTAAGCCAGCAAACGAAGCTCCGTTAGAAAACTCCCACCTGAGCCTCCTGTCATGTCGGCGGAGCTGAACTAAGAACATGAATCAATTCATATAACTGTTAATGTAGGACGTTGTAGTAAAATCAGCACTGTGAATAAAGACCTTATCAACAGACAGCGCGTGTTTTGGCTGTTCACAAGTTACTTTTTTCCCGAAATCTCAGCCTTTGGATGCAGTAACGTTAGCAAAATGAACGTTAACGTTAGTGTTCGTCTTTAAATGGCGCCGAAGTTAGTTACGTAATAAGTTTTAAGCGATGTACAAGTTATGGAAAGCAGCTGTCGATTTGAAAGGGAGTTACTGAACATGACAAGAAAAACAACCCGTCGTCTATTATTACGAAATATGTGGACACTGTAACTCTCAGGTTAACGTTTAAATTGATAAAACACTCAGTTAATAAGATTCTTAATTTGAGTATATTATCAGAAAACTCACACTGCTTGTAGGCCACAGAGAGGATTGATCTTTTCATTTGTAGTTTGACAAATCACACTTCCATTATATGTCTAATTAATAAAACAAATATTTGCTTATTTGCATAGCTCTAGTGTTAGAAGACGATAAATTGGAATGGAAATTGTAGAAAAACAAAAGATATAACAGTGGTGGTCAGATTGACCTTATATAGTTGCAGTGAAATTCGCTACTACTTATATTCAACTGTCTACTCATTTGCTGGTCTGTCCACGTCCATCTGTCTCAGTTCTGTCTGAGGCGCCACTGGCTCCACCACAGAACGTCAGTGTTGATAAGTGGCTACTGACGTGGACTCCTACCACCCAGGAGAAAGACGTCACCTACACCGTTCAGTACCGCAGGTGAGCTCTGATGGTTACATCCTGCAGTGCACCCTGCATGAGAAGACACCTGAGAGGTTTTTTAACTTCCTGCCTTGTCTTTTTTTTTTTTAGCTGAGAATAAATATCCATTTGATTTGTGCTGGTCATTAAAACAGACAATGTATGAAATGTGTCACAAGCTTTAACTAAAGGTTAGAATCATGTCAGATTCACGACTGATGTGAATCTGTTGTTGTTTCTGTACCTTGTCCTCAGCTTTGACTCCAGTGAGTGGAAGGACATACCAGCCTGCACCCAGATATCTAGGGATTCCTGTGATGTCGCTTCAGCCAAAGCTAACGGCAAATTTGGCTGTGTTAGACTGCGTGTGCGAGCAGAGAGACGTCTGCTGACCTCGAGCCCAGCTGAAGCCTGTAGCAGACATGGTAAGAAACAAAGAATTTCCACGTGAACAGGCAATGTGCATCAGTCTAATAACTTTGTTCACACGGCAGCAGTTTAGTTCATGCATCAGTCTATTCTTCATTGTCAGGGTTTGTACAAGAAGTTCTGAATGTATGCAGTTTTTGATGCTGTCATATTGTTTTATAATGTACTAAATATAGCACTAAGCAGAAATCCACAGAAGACCCTCCGTAATGCTACAGTGGTGTTACCTAATGAGGAGGGGTCTAATGTAGACTCATGACTAAATAACATTTACTCTCGGTTGAAGATGGCCTTCCACAGTTTGTTCAAACTAGTGCAGACCTCTACAATAAAAAAAAAATCAGTCATCAGTTCAAATCAGAGTTATGACGTCTTCCTATCATGTAGTGTATTTGTAGGTGTTAACCAACCTAACCACAATGTGAACCATGTAGTGTGACTTGTCAAAAACTTAACAAACCCACAGCAAGCTTTCATAACTTCATTAGAATCATTGTGCTAGACTGAGTCTTGTAGTCATTTTTTTTTAGGTCTGAAAAGTTATTGGTGGCCATGTGAGATCTCACACCTACATTAATGACAGAGGGCATATGGCACAGATCAGTCCTGTTTTTGTCAACACTGAAAATGTTTGCTCTGCTCTTCAAGGTGATGCATGTACTCCTGAAGTCAGTCTGACTGCACGGCCTGGCTCCCTGACTGTACATTTATATAGGAACCACGGTTTGGCTCAGGAATATGGGAACCATGCATTACACAGGGTTTACTATGGCAAGGAAGGGGAGTCCCTGGAGGTGAGAAACCATGTGCTTGTTTAATGCGTACTGAAAGTGATGTAACACCATGTTCACACTAAGCCGGTTACTTTTGAAAATGCTGTTTTAGAATGTCTTTTATGCCTTTTTAATAGTAGGAATGGGTTCCGAAACCTGGTACTAAACGGGCCCCAGGGCTAAATTATGAAAGACCTCAGTATCGATTAGCTCCAACGTTAACGGTTCTGCTTTCGGTACTGAAGAAATAAAGAAAATACATTTCCCTTTATTATTGCTACATAAACTGGCGGCTGTGTTGCCAGTTAATAGGAAGGACGGTTCAGTCCCCGGCTCCCCCTGGTTGCATGTCGAAGTGTCCTTTGGCAAGATACTGAACCCCGAATTGCCCCTGGTGGCTGTTCTGCCAGTTGTTTTTTTGTTGTTGCAGTAAATAATTTTTTGTGTTAGTTTTTTCTGTTCTGAATTCTGTTCGTTTTTTTTTTTTTATCTTAAAAACACAAAGAACCGATAAGAATACCGGTAAAGTACCAGATCAATTAGCAGTATTGGTAGAGTAGTAATACACTTAAAATCTTAACGATATCATCCCTATTTAATAGACAGCTGGCAGAGATGCTTACTGTGGACAGAAGATCAAAATGGAGAGAAGAAAGATGTGGTCTTAGTGAATCCTTGCACTGCATGCAGCTCAACAATTAATAACAAGTTTACCCATTTTATATAGTAAATAACACAAATAAATCAATGTATGGGAAGCACTGGAGTGGGAAACAGTGTTGAAGTGAATAGGAAATATTGGCCTTAAATGTGTAACGTGTGCTAATGTTATCCAAATGCCTTCCACTATCAAGCAGAACCTTGAAGATACTTCCTCTTCAGTGTCCTTACATGAGCTGCAGAAGGGACAGCGTTACTGTACAAAGGTGCAGTATATCTTCTTCAGTACACCTGTTGGACTACCCAGCTGTACCCAGTGTGAGCTCATCCCCAGGACTGGTAAGACCACATTTGAGACCATAAAGAAGCAAATCGGCTGTGTTATTTTGGCCTTGACACTTTTCCCAGAATATAATGGGTCTCTCTCGGATTGCTTTTCTTTGTGACAGCCAATGCTTTCGGTTGCAGTGCTGTAAGAAAATGAGTTTAATGTTTTAGAAACGTGACACTTGGTAGAGGTAGGTGAATGATCTGCCATGATGCTGTTTTTAATGAAGAACTGACATCCACAATCTGACAGTCGGTTGCTTAAAAGCAGGAACATGAATGCTGTGCTTTCAGGACATCAAAACATCATGATCAACAACTAAATACAGCAGTCCTGCTGGAAGAGGTTCAAACAGTCATTGGATATGTTGTTGGGATGTGCGTTATTACCACAAAACCTTTCATTTAAAATGAAGCTGATGAAATTCAGTTCACTGTGATGGAATACTGATTAATGCGCGTCTGTATTGATTTTCATAGTGACCACCAGCGTCTGTGATTTACAGTATATGGACTGTACTTGTATTGCACTTTGCTAGTCTTCTAACCTCTTAAAGCTTAACACTACATGACACATTCATACAGTGATGGCAGAGGCTGCCATGCAAGGTGCCTTCTATCAGTTGTGTAATCATAAGCTCATTAATCCTCTGAAGTCAGAACATGCTAAAAAAGAATTGTAATGGATTGCTTCTGTCTCTTTCATTTGTGTGTGTGTGTGTGTGTGTGTGTGTGTACCTTGCATTTTCCCGAAGACCCAAAACAAACAGAGGTGATAGTAGCTGTGTTGGCGGTCCTCTTCCTGGTCACTCTGATCCCTGTGATAGGATACTTCCTCATCTGCCAACGTGGGAGAATCAAACAGTGGCTGCGGCCTTATGAGATCTCAATTGATGTGAGCACTCACACTGAACATATTCACCACACAACCGCACACATATTGTACTGCAGTTAAAAGACCTAACTCTGCTGCTCTTATAACAGCACCTGTCACGTAGATGTCCTTTGATGAAAGAGGAGAGGAAGCTAACAAAGCGTGATTTACCGAGCTCACACAGTGTGCGGGTGAAAATCATTTGTTCCTCATTGATATTAAATAATGGAGTGAAATCTTAGGCTACGTTCAGACTGCAGGCCAATGTGACCCAAATCTGATTTTTTTTTTTGCTCATATGTGACCCAGTTTTGATCTTTTTATGACAGTGTGAACAGGCCAAGTCACATGGAATCTGATACAGATCGGATCTTTTTAAATGCAACCTCAGTCTGGACACTCAGGTCGCATTTGATGCGACTTTGACATCACCCTAGAGCAGCAGTTCTGCTGTAGATGGAGCCGCGCTGAACGAAATGTGACTTGGCCTGTTCACACTGTCATAAAAAGATCAGATCTGGGTCACATATGAGCAAAAAAAATCAGATTTGGGTTACATTGGCCTGCAGTCTGAACGTAGCCTTAGTAGCAGTGGTCATAATTCAGCAGTGGCTATGTGCCGAGTGTAGGTCTCTCTCAATGTCTCTGTAATGTGCACATCAACATGACGTTATTAACATTTAAGTAATGGATTTGTGAAATCTGTGAATCAAAAACAAACCCAGCTTTAAACACTGTCAATGAACTATGAGGACAAAACAGCAGCAAAAAAAAAATTCTATTAACTTTTATATATATGTGAGCGCTTTTCATAAAAGAGCAGGTCTAGACCGTACTCTATAGAGAGAGAGAGAGAGAGAGAGATTTCAGTAACGAGTTACGCAGTGTTACTTGACTTAGTAACTAGTAATAATATTACTGATTTGGAAAATTAATTAGTTACAATACTAGTTACTGGGAAAAGTAATATTATTACTGCCCAACACTGCTGACCCTTAAGAGCTTTGTAGGTGTGAATTTAAATTCTATTCTGGATTTTAAAGGAAGCCAATGCGGAGAAGCTAAGACAGGAGAAATGTGATCTCTTTTCCTGGTTGTGCTGCAGCATTCTGAATCAGCTGAAGAGTCTTAAGGCGGTCCTTGAAATTTGCTTAATGTGAGACTTAAACGACATGTCCTGATCAAAGATAACTCCAAGATTCCTCACAATGGTACTGGAGGCCAGGGTGATGCCATCCAGAGTAACTGTATCTTTAGATAATGTGTCATGGAGGTGCTTGGGCGCCAGAACAATAACTTCAGGGATGTGATTTTTCTGGATTTTCCGACCTGAAAATATGACCCACGTGAATCATTCAGATCTGTGGTACGCATCAGTGGTACGTAATACTCTAATATTACTTTTCCCAATAAAGAGTAATGTAATGGATTACTATTTCCAAAACAGTTATATTATTACGAACTACTAATTGTTACTAACTGAACACACCATCCTTGACGTGAATGCGTGACTGTTTAAGTTAGCTGTTAGCCAAACAGCTAAAGGAAGACTGGAGAACAGGGGGAGAAGGGTATTTTCGACAGCTGTAAATAACGTTATTGCCATTATTTTTCAGTCAGTCTACGATGCAAAGAACATTGTCGTCCTTTGTAAACTTTGCGACCAGCAAAAAGCTTTTAACTGCGAACAATTCTACATTTCTACTTTAGGCTAATTGAAACATTAGCTAAAGCAATACAACAATGTGAAACTCAGAAAGAAACCGGCCGCTACTGCCAGTGATGCTTGGACTATTCGGGAGAGAGTGCCGTTATATCACCCAGTAATAAGTAGAGTAGCTAATATTACTTTTTTAAGGAGTATATGCTAAGTAACTTTCCCAACACTTGACAATGTTTGTAATGACAATATGTTTTGATTATTGCTTGTTAAAGGCTATGTCTAATGTTTACTTTGACTTAACCATCATGTTATAATAGAGACAGTTTTATCGGAGTGTGTGCGGTCTCAGGATATTTTCTGCCTTTTTTGCACTTTGCCAGTCACATGCCTGTAAATTACAGGTCATCCAGGTTTTAACATCCTGAAGGCACATTTGAAGTTTAGCTAACTGATTAGTTTCATCTGGCTTGATTGATAGATATAACTGAGTATCATCTGCATAACAATGAAAGCTTATGGAATATTTCCTGATAATATTGCCTAAAGGAAGCATATATAAAGTGAACAGGATTGGTCCGAGGACAGATACTTGTGGAACTCCATGACTAACTTTGGCATGCATGGAGGACTCATCGTTAACATGTACAAACTGAAATCGATCTGATAAATAGGACTTAAACCAGCTTAGAGCGGTTCCTTTAATGCCAATGAAATGTTCCAGTCTCTGCAATAGGATCTGATGGTCAACATTCAAAAACAGAATAATCATTCAATAATCATAGCAAAACCCCGCCCACACTCTCTTTCTGCGTGCAGCCCCTCTAGCTTACAAGTTCTCTAGCAACATGAGGGAGACACAGTGCCGATTAACACTGCTGAAGACCTGGTTTGTAAAAAGTAAAACAATGGTTCAGTACTTGGACATATTTGGCTTTGACGTACAAGCCCAAATGGTCCCGTAGGTGAGGGTTTACAGACATAATGTGAAGGTCGCTAACTGGATCAGAGGCTCCCTGAAACATACTGGATATTTACGATTCAAAATCAGAGGAGTCTCCGATTAGAAACCTTAAAAACAATTACTCCAAAGCAAAACTGCTTTGCCGACCCCTGCTGTATATCATTACTTCTTCTTCGAATGTATGCGTAGCGATGAACGTCTACACTGCCAGAATTCTAGAAGAAAAAGAACATAGTGGTGAAACGCTCTTTTGCGCCTTTTGTCAATTTTGGTCTACTGTAGAAACATGGCGACCTCCATGTAAGGGTGACCTGCAGTTATGTAGATGGGACTTACATTGTATTTCTGTCAATAGATGCTCAAAGATTACACACTGAACCTTTTAACACATTCAGACAACTTCTGTTAGGATGACATATTGCTATAAACAAATAATAAAATTAAAATAACATTGTAATCAGTCACTTTGACTACAGTAACATGAGCCGCTGATCCCGGGTCTGTGCAGGGGAACTGATCTAATAATGAGTGGAAGTTGTCTCTCGTTCGTGCTGTATATTATAGGATAAAAAGGCTCCAATAACCCATAACCCTGGTTGTACAGGACTCTGTCCCCACTTCTGAAGGCCGATCTGACAGAGTTTCACTGTGAACCAGGGCTTTGGTTTTTGTACAGTATGTGCGGAAGGTTTTAGTTGGCACACACATCCTCACAAAAACTGATGTAAGATGTCACAGTGTCAGTTCGTCCAGGTCAGTGGCTGCAGCCTCAAACACTCCAATCAGGGCAGTCAAAGCAAGCCTGTAAATCCAGCTGTGACTTGTTTGTCCATCTTTTAAAACACAAAAAGCATTACGGAGAAAATCCAGAGGCGGTGGTCTGCAGCGCCATCATGAAGGAATGGTAAATGAGAGGATTCTGTCCACAGAAATGCTAGAGGAATGCAAAATGTAGATAGTATATTTCCATGTCTGTGCCACGTGAGTTACGCTGCTTATGTGGGCTGCTCTAACCTTTGAACATGGAACCCGAAATAAAAAGCAAGGTTCACAGTTATTCACTATCTCAGTGTGCAAAATGCACACATCATCTTTAAGGTAACTGGTTCATTTAATTAAAGGTTGACAGTTTTTGTCATTTCTCCTCTAGTTCATCCTCGAGCCATTTCCTGAGCAATACAGCCCCATCTCCACTAGCAGCCCCAGCGAGGAGCACTGCGATGTCATCACCTGCATTACCCCAGAGGGCTTCAGACCATAAAGCAGCTGCCCCCATCTGATTCTGGACCACAGCTCCTCTCTGTGGCCAGGATCAGACCTGAGAAAACCCTGCTGTGCTGACTCCCCTACATTTCTGTTTGGCTACAGGGAGACGCACATCAGACTTCCTGCTGAGCTGGATAGGCTCAGGATATGTTATGACTTGATTTAAAGTGAGAAGTCTGTTGCTGGGAAGAAGGTATAATTTGATCTACATTTAGCTTTCACGCCAGGAGAGAAAAGGGAGCAATGAAAAGACTGAAGCACTTGCTGGCCACTCAAGTTATTAAGCTCCAGACTTTTAGGAAACCAACTCTTGTTTGGTTTAATATGGCTGCAAAAATTCTAAGACATTTCTATTATAGCAAAAGTAAAATATAAACACTGAGGTCCAGTGTTTATATTTTTACAGGAAAGTGTCAAATTGAGTAAAATGACCAGGTAACGTCCATGCCTGATAGTGTTTTTGCACCTTTTTATGAGCATACATCTGTCAAGTACTGAACATTTCCAGGCTATTTGTGAGCTGCAGTCCACATAAATGAGCGCATTAGAAACAGCAGCCTCACAGGTTCGGTGCGGCTCAGACCCATATACTGCTGGACACTAGTTTTCAGACCACCACAGGTCCTTCCTTTGAGCCAAGAAAACTGCTGATTTCTAAAACATTATGACTAAACCCTATTTGAATGTTCATATGATACTTTACTATAAGGTTTCACTATTTTTATGCACTTTTTCTAACAATCGAAACATTTGTGCTTTAGTAGCATTAAAGAACACAGCAGAAGCTGATCTGGTGTGAATAGAAGATAGCTCCCACAGAATGTGTAATTTGCAAGAACCTTTTATCTGAAGCTCCTGCATATTTCTTGAGACTGAGTCATTCAATAAGCACTCAGCCTCGAGCCCTCAAGGTTCACTTTGAAGACCGAGACCTGATCTTTCATCTGTGTCGCATCATTTCAGATCACTACTAGGGCTTCTAACACAACAGGAAGGATCACTCTTTAAATAAGTCAGTTATAACCAAGTGTCCCAAAAGAGAGCTCATGTTGGGGGGGGCTGGCTCTAACATTTACTTTGGCACAAAGTTAGATATTTCTAAAAATCAGAACACTGCAGTGTTTATCTTTATTATCAAATAATACTAAACCCTATTCTTTAACTTGCTGACCAGGTTAGATTTTCTGACTATCATTCAGTGTCTTTTGTCTGGCTCTGTTGGCCATTATCATGTTTCTCTTCTAACCATTGCCAGAAACATTTTAAATGTCTTTGCACTTCATGTAATGATCCTACTTTTTATATGTGGTGATTTACAATAGTGTGTAAAACGGTTGGATGTTGCCGGGTTTTTGTCCAGAAACGTTTTCACAATAAATGACTGGTGCACAGACTGTGATTTGGGCTCATAAACTAGGATGTGTCGTTTCATTGCAGGAGAGCTTATAGTCACCTACTTGTGTCCTTGTAGAACATTTAAATGATCACCTCACCTAAATCACAACACATTTCCTTAATTAAAGGCATTCTGTGACTCCTGTATGGTAGCTGCATGATTAAAAGTAAAAAAAAATTATTCTATCTCATACAGGCCCTTCATGCAGGCCGTCATCAACTCCACCAGCTGTTCGCTGTAAACACACTGCTGCATGCTGGCTGCTATTTCCGAGCAATACGTTTAATACAGACATTTGATCTCGGGTGACATTGGCGAGACTTGTGTGGCTGTTTGACTGTTTATTGTGATTTATTGGTTAGCAAACAAGGTGAAAGGTGGAGCAGTTGTGGAAAAACAGCAAACATGCTCAATGTAATGCGAGTAACCTCTACTCGATCATTCAGAAATTATCGAATTATGAGAAATTGGTTTTTAATCCCCTGTTCGACATCTCTGCCTTCGATTTTCTGGTAGTCTTTAAAAAAGAAAGCAACAGTAACATGTTTCATACCCCCCCCCCCCCCCCCGTTACTCTACATAATCCCCCCACGCTGTCAACAGTTTCCATAGGGGTCATTTCTAAAGGATGTGAGACTGCAAAGTGGATGTGGATGTTCATGCTGTATTTATGCTCAGATTTTATGTTGAGGTCGAGGAACACTTTACCACTCCAGTTCCACTTATTTTGCCTCCACTGTGAACATCATAAAAAAGCTGTCAGGAATTAGTACATACGTATGATAACCAGCTGTGGTTACACTTTTTTTTTTTTTATGACGTAAAATGTACAAAATTGTTAGTTCTTACACCCCCAACCGGTCGAGGCAGATGGCCGCCCACCCTGAGCCATGGTTCTGCTCGAGGTTTCTGCCTCTTAAAAGGAAGTTTTTCCTTGCCTCTGTCGCCTAGTGCTTGCTCTTGGTGGGAACTGTTGGGCTTCTGTAACTATCATCACAGAGTACGGTCTAGACCTGCTCTTTTATGAAAAGCGCTGTGAGATAACTTTTGTGATTTGGCGCTATATAAATAAAATTGAACTGAATTGAATTGAATTACCAAGTAAAGCCACTCAGTGTAGATACAGGTACCATCGAGTCTCACCATTTTATAGATGGCCATGGGTTCCTATAGCAAGTAAATGCTGTCCCACAGCATTCATCATGACAAGTGGCAGGTTGCAGTCGCTCACTCCCAGTTCTACTAAAATCACCCAGCACCACAAGAAAAACAAAGAACTGTATCTGCTGTTTGTGGACAGCACAATGTGATGAATACACATTGTCCAGCATTCTCTAATACAACATTTGCTTTATTTGTCACGTTTTAAGCTTCTAAAAAGTCAGACAAATCATTAAAAAGATGGAAAGTAACCCCAAATCCCATTTCCCCATTTTTTTCTCCATGCAAGTGAAAGCTTTAGGGTGCGGGTGTATCTTAATACATAAAAAATGGTCTGTGATAACAAGTCCTTTAATACTGTTACTACAGCAGTCTGATTCACAGCATCACAATATTTGTTCTATACTGAAATACTTCAGTCAAGTCTCTGAATAGTTACATTTCACGTTTTCTGGTAAAAACAAGAGCTAAACATGGACCACGTACAAGAGGACAAAACAGCTATTTAAAAAACATACGCCATCTTGAGGCAGAATGACCGAGACAAATCTGTCAACAGGAAACTGACCCTACATGTAAGAAATACTCTTCTCTTCTCTAAAATACTTTATAATCCAGAGCATGTATTGTCATACCAGCATACAGGAGCAGTTTAAGCACAGACAGCAGGCAGGGCTGTGTTCTCCCTGTGTTTACTCTCACATCCACTTCAAAATGTTTTTCCATCAATAAATTAGCTCATTCCCAGAAACCTTTCCCTTTCTGATTCACTACAATGACATTACACTGTAACCCTCAACAAATTAAACAAATGATGACATGTATTAACGCGTAAGAAGCATCTGAGATACAATAGAATAAATTGACCTGGCTCATCAGTTCTCAATAACAAAAAGAATTCCCTTATTTAAAATACATTTTCACAATTATTTTCTCAAGAACAGCACAGAAAAACTAGTAAAAATAGCCATAGCACTATATGCCAGTTAACACCATCAGTGTGTGTGGAGCAGCAGTGAGTTTGGGTTTCTGTTTAAAAAGCAAATTCAGGTTATAAAACATTCTGTAAATCTATGTATGTGTTTGGGATGGAGGTTCTACAGCTTTGTAATTAAAACAACAGATTACAAAACATGTTGAAAGACTGTGTGTGTGTGTGTGGGGGTGGGGTGGGGGGGGTGGGGGGGGGCAGACACTCTAACCCCATAAATCTTCAGTCCGGCCAAATTTGTAGATCAGAGTGCTAACAGAGAGAGAGAGAGATGAAACATGACATCAGGACACAGTGATCATGAACAGCTCCACTTTTTACCACAGGTAAGATCATCATCACATGATGTTCAGCCTGTGAGGTTCTTGCTGTTGCTGCTTTACTTAATGAACTGTATTATCCTTGAATCTTCTGACTTTCATGCCAATAAAGCAAATGCAAAATTGAAACTGAAATATTAAAAAGTTGCTGGAAGCCATCTGTACATTTGAACAAATCAACAAGTTGCTGTAGTATAAAATCCACATATACATGAAGCAAGTTAGTCTCCTCTACCATCTTATTATATGTATATTTAAGGGCTACAAAATATGATACAGCTTGGACTGCACTGCGCATTAACTGAATTGAAATGAATTCATTTATCATTGAGGTGATGCAAATGCAGAGGCATACATCCTTTGTAACACTGCGTATATAGAAACTTCTGGGACTGGCCCAAATGTCATTTTTTGTGCATGAATAATAATTAACAGCAAACAAGCATCGCCGGGAGGGGGAGGGGGCATCTGCTCAGAGATTTTAGTATCGCAATTATCCTCTATCTTTTTTGAGTTGGTTGCATTGCATTTTCTTAATTTCACTGTTCTTTTCTAGGTGTTCTGCCAAAATTTACTTTAAATGATGCATTTATCATGTGAAAACGTCATTGTGGGGATCGAACCGTCAACCCTGTGATCAGTGGACAAGCTGAGCCAGGACAATGGATGGCGAGGTTTCAACTTTGTCATTTGTTTGAGATCATTTATGAAGTCCTGATCAGAAAGTAAGGGGGTCTAGCTTCCATACTTTCTTGGTTTTCTCCATCATGTCCAACTTTAAAGTAGAGGAAACAGAACAACGCTCAGGGATAATTCTTTTGTGGTATTTAGGTGGAAAAACAAGACATGCAGTGAGCATCTACCATAAAGTAATCAATCCTTGTATTAATTTACTTATCCCTCCCTGGCTGTTGGATTAAATGCTCTCCACACAGCCATCAGGTTCAAATGGTTCAAAGTGGTAATAAGAAAAAGAACTGGAATTGGAAGGTGAAATTCTTTGGGAAGACTGTTCTAGTAATTATTAAATCCATCTGTCTGTGGGATAAAGTGAAGTACCTTTCTGAAAAAGGCATTTTAAGACAAGACTCATCTTTCACAGGAGTTTGTGCCTCTAATCATTTTTAACTTTTTGTGCAATGGTTCGGACTTCTGCATTTACGGCTGTAGAAGCACCACCGACTGCATTCTTTCCCTTGATGATGATCCCATGACAAAAAGCAGGCCACGGCTACGTACTGACACTACCCCACAATCTCCCTAATCACCGGAGAGCCTCTCAGTCTCAACAACTCAGGTACCACACAGAAGACAAAGCTCCAGCAGGTGCTCATGTCTGCTTCGCTCTGACTACCAGCTCTATGTGGCAGTTCCTGCTACGGTGGCACTGCTCTCTGTCAGTCTGTAAATTTTGGGTACAGATGGTGTTTTAATACCTGACAACTATCTCCAAAGTTTATTTTCAGACCAGTTTCATGTTATACTCACCTAAAAAAGATGAAAGCATTCTGAAAGAACACAGCCAGCCCCGGTGCCACTACTTCTTTCTCTAATAATTAAACAGAAAAAACAAAACAAAATCACGGTCAATAACAACATTAAGTAAGGGGTTTCGGAAACAGATGTTTATGTGTCTGCAAATGGGAACAGAGAGAAGATGAAACTGTTAAGTATGCAAGACTGAGAAATAATCTGGAGTCTGTGACTGGGCTGGGGAAAAGTGGGTCACTTGTTAACCTAGGGCTGGGTGATATGGCCAAAAATGTTATCACCATTACATTTTTTATATCATTCGTAGGGGTCTAACGATTCAACAAATCCATGGTTCGGTTCAGACCTCAATTTTTTCTCCTTGTTCATCTTTATGTGATATTATTATTACCATCATCATCATTTTCCATCTTGGGTTAATTAAATTAGTCTATGTTGCGAGCATGATCACTCAATCAGAAATGCAGTGCAGAAAGTTTTGAACATGAGCAGAAAAGCTGCTGAAACACAGGAGCTATTAAAGTCCAGGAGTTTATCACTGAATTAAAAAGAATTCAATTATCATTGAGGTGAAAATGTTCCACATGCACATTTAAAGAGGTTATTTCCCCAAACCCTCGATTTCAAGGCTGCTCAAGTAAGTGTCAGTACTGCAGTGACAAAAGTAGGATACCAAAACATTTTGGGATCTTGTTGCTTGTTCTGTTTGCAACAATGTCGGACCACAATTACAACTTGGAGATGGCTCCACGAGGCAAGTGATGATATCGACATCGATGAAGAATTAGGGGCGGTCGGTCTCTCCGCCAAGGAAGCCCAAATTAACAAAGACCATACACCAATTAAAGAGCCAAATCCCAAAAAACAGAAATACAGAAGTGAAATTGAGGACGAGAACACAGGCGCTGCAATTCTTAAAGCAGTACAAGCTCTGACCCGAAAAATGGACCAACAGACTGAACTTTTGAAAAGCTTTGACAGACGTATTGAAGCGAACACAACTGCGACAAATAAAAACCGGGAAGACATCGGCAC